ACAGTTCCCAGCATGCACTACATTGTAATGTTTGCTCCCACCCCCTCCACAACAATGGCAATCTATGGGACTGCACCACAAAAACAAAACAAAAAGGTGCCAGGTGTCTGGTTCAAGCAAATGGACAGTTTTAAAACACCTACTGTACACTGGGGACATTTAAAGAGGTTTAACAGTATCTGCAGCTAATGTAGTTTTATTTAAAATTATTTTTGATTTGTTCAAGTATTCAGTGCTTATTTTGCTGTTGTAATGTTGGCATATTTTAAACAAACAATGGCCAGCTGGGGTCACGGCAAAATTGTAAGTAAAAATAAAATAAAAACACAGCTGGCCCACAGATTTGTAAAGATTTTTTTATATGGCCCTCTTAGTGGTTGAGTTTGACATCCCTATCCCAGAGCATAGAAGCTGTAATAAAGGCAAAGTGTACACTAAATACTGAAAAGTGCAATATTATATTTAATTGTTATGGCAAAATCTTCTGTAAAATGTATGTTTTTTTCTTTCTTTTTTCCTGATGCTGAAAATAATTTGCACTTAATGGTCATTTTGAAAAGAAATTAAATACATGCACTTTTGTCCAGAACTGTATGCGTTGTATTCTATGTTAAGACTAGTTCCTCTACTCGCATTTGGGTATTCAGTGTATTTTACAAATAATACTAATTTCTACCTAAATCATCAGATCAAACTGTATTTAAACTTGAGATTTCATGAAGCTTTGATCAATTTCCTGAAGAATCGTAATCGAACCTAATTTAATCTATGAGCTAACTCAGAGATTTACATCCCTGGTTGGGACAATGTTTAGAGCTGGTCAGTAGACTATTAGGGTGTCACACAGGGTCAGTTCAGGGCTTCCTCAACAGCAGGTTAGAGAAAGAGCAGGACAGCTCTCTGGTGCTAAGGAACCCTCCCTGATCTAATACTAAAGATTCCAACCAGCAACCCCTGGGCTCCTAGTGTGGAGCCCTAACCCACAGAGCCATGCATATTCAAGATAGCATACGCAAGCTTGCCCCTGAATGCTCCAAATGGTGTTGAAACAACTCTCTCCTCACTTTTCAGGCCTACATGATGATTAAGCTTATCGAATATGCTATAAATGGCATGAATACAAAACAGGCAAGAACCTCCGTTGAGCTTACAGCTGCTGTTGGACAGAGAGGAGTCTGCACGTTTAACGTGTGCACTAGAGCGTCAAATCTGTCCTCCAGCAGTCAACTATTTTTTTGCCCCCTTACTCGAAACATAATTCTTGGCTGAAACAGAGGGTCAGCTTTAAGAGGATTATCACTTTGCAGGCGCTGCAAATTAGCATGATTAGCAAAAGCCACCTCGGACTGACAAGAGTGCAAAATGTCCTGCCAAGGATGGTGTACTGGCGATGCTCAGGCCGAGCAGAAGTGAGCATTCTCCTCTTTAATACAGATTTGTTGTGACCTGCTGTTTCACACGTTGTGTACTGTGTGCCATGACCCAGTTTCAGCTGCTACACCATATTTGTTCATGGAGCACCAGGGAAAAGTGCTCAGAGCAGAATGCTGCTTCACAGGATCATATAAAGAGGAAATCATTTTTTTCAGCCTATTAACTATTCTACAGAGAGCAAAAGAGTTCATGGTGGCTCCATCTGGTTTGTACAGCATTAAAAATATCCTAATATCAGCATTAAAGGGGCCTCAAAACAAATATGAAACAACTGGGAACTGTAATATAATATTGAATAAACAGTTCTGTTTTTATTGGCATGTTTTTCTTAAACTCTGCAATAAAACTACTCTTTCACAATACCATACCACATATCATTATACCGCAATAGCCTGAGACTTCAACAAAACATCTAGGCCAAAGGAAGCTGCACTATTTGGACAAAAGTATTGGGACACCTACACATTACACCTACAGGAGCTTTTATGACATCCCATTCTAAATCCATATGCATTAATGTAGAGTGGGTCCCCCGTTTGCAGCTATAACAGCTTTCACTCTTCTGCAAAGCTTTCTACAAGATTCTGCAGTGTGTCTGTGGGAATTTCTCCCATTCATCCAGAAGAGCATTTGTGAGGTCAGACACTGATGTTGGACGAGAGGGCCTGGCTCACAATCTCCATTCTAGTTCATCCCAGAGGTGTTTGATGGGGTTAAGGTGAGGTCTCTGTGAGGGCCAGTCAAGTTCCTCCACAACAAACACCACGCCTTTATAAACCTTGCTTTCTGCACTGGGGCTCAGTCATGCTGGAACAGAAAATGACCTTCCCCAAACTGTTCTCACAAAGTTGGAAGCATATAATTGTCCAAAATGTCTTGGTCTGCTGAGGCATTAAGCATTTCCCTTCACTGGAACCAAGGGGCCGAGACCAACCCCTGAAAAACAACCCCATAGCATTATCCCTTCTCCACCAAACTTTACAGTTGGCACAATGCAGTCAGGCAGGTAACGTTCTCCCAGCATTTGCTAAACCCAGAATCGTCCATCAGACTGACAGACAGAGAAGCGCGATTCGTCACTCCACTGCTTCAGAGGCCACTGGCCCTTTTTGAAAAGGGTTTTTCTATTGTTGCAAGCTTGACATCTTAACAATAGGACAACCCTTTTGGGTGCTATAGAGAACCATTTTCAAAAGGGGTCTATATAGAACCATCTACAGCCTTTTCTCCATCAATCTGAAGAACTCTTTAATGATGCCAAGAACTCTTCCTAGTTATGTTAGGTTAATCTGACACATTAAACCCTTAGTTCAGCATGTCATGTCCACACCAGCTGAAACGCTAACCTGGATGGATTTACCTAGACACCACGGATAGTATTACTATAGTACTTGCATTGAGTTTAAATACAGCAACAATGATTATATTCAATAAAAATTAACTGAAATTTAGATATATTTTTTATTTCACAGAAAAAAATGTCAGAGAATGTCTAGAAGGCCCCAAGAATTCCTCTTTAAATGGTAAATTCTTATTTCTTATACAGTTTCTGACACTGTATGACATTTTTATCTATAGAACTAGACAAATGTACATGCCATGCAAATATTCAGGCTTCAAAGTGGCTGTTACTGTTTTAGTTATTCAATGTTTGACTTTTCCCCCAAAGTAAGGCAAAGTAAGAGAATGATATGGCACCTTTTTCATGCTTTTATTAAATTTGAGCACAGTGGAGAATGAGCTGTTTGATGCCTTTGGTTTCTGGAATACTTTAGGATTGGGACCCCTGAGGATAGACCAAAACCACAAAAACTAAATGAAAAACAAAAGTGGGTCATATAAAACTGACTAAACCCCACCACACACACTGTAGAGCACTGCCATTAAGTTACTTCTTATGAAAATGTATTTGAACATAAATTTGACTTCACACAATAGAAATATGGTATCAAATTCATATCCTAATATCTAGGTTCCCAAACTGCATGTACACTTGAACAGAAAATGACATTAAAACACTGCTGGCAGGTCAAACTTTTCTAGATTACACACTTAGAAAAAAGATTCTTCTTCAAGGGTTCTTTAGTAAAGGCAATGGTTCTATATAACACCATGCATTCTACATAGAATCATTTGCATGTTTAAATGGTTCTTTACATGGTAGAGGTTCTTCAGATTGATGGAGAGTGTGCTGTATGTGGTTCCAAATAGCACCAAAAAGGGTTCTTCTTTTGTTACAAGCTTGGCATTGTAATAATAGCAGAACCTTTTTTAGTATTTTCAAACAGGTTCTATACAGAACCATAAACAACACATTCTCCATTTATCTGAAGAACCATTTCACCATGCAAAGAACCATTTAGGCATGCATATGGCTTTATATAGAACTCATGGTTCTAAACAGAACTACTCCCTTCACTAAAGAACCACTGAAATAACATCTTTATAAGTGTCAATGTTGCTTTGTCTCCCAGCTCGAAAATATTAACTGGTGCAATGACAGCCTTAATCCACATGGGGGAGCTTAAATCCTCTATTACACCAATATGAATGAAAACTATTAAGACAAACTACTCAAACATCAGATCAACAGTGCATACAGCCTTTATTTTTTTATAAATACATATTTCAAACAGTTATTCAATTCAACATATACAATTTTTCCACATATAAAAACTGATGTAGGCTCCTGCCTTGGACAAAAACAGCCAAGGACATTCATTATAGCACTAAAGGAAAATGCTATTAGCCAACAAAGCATCTACATAATGCTCCAAACATTAGGTGACAAAAATCTATGCCATTTAAAATATTGCTCCTGTCCCGAATCCCCAGTAGTGCAGTGAAGTCTGGACCTGCGTTAATATGCATCAAACCTGCCAGAATACAGGCCCTGACCAAGGATCAGCATTTCTCCTTCATATCCAAATGAAATTGATCATACAGTCAGATAAGAGCTGATCCAAGACCAGTACGTACTCTGAAAAGCTTGATGGTACAGCATATTGGGTCCAGATAAGTGCACTGGCTCCTCCAAGGACATTCATACTACACTTGACCTCTCCCTTCTTCCAAATAAGTATTATCTACTAAGAAATAATGAACCTAAGTAGTGCATAAGTACTGGTAAAGTACATTAAAGCCAGCACAGGCGCTATATGGTATATAACCATGTTAAAGTTGATGGGAAGGCTGGGAAATGCAGGAGAGAAAACAGTTAAGGCACTATATGGCTTGGGAAATTTAATATGTACCAATTCATTTAACAGCTTGTGACACTTTAATTTGGTAGACTGAGTAAAAAAGCATGAACAACTAAAATTAAAATATTCAGCCAGTCTAAAAAAAGAAAAGAGAGTTAAAGCTGAAGCTCCAGGTACCCACAGGTTTGGTGGAAAGGACCCGCTGGTGCGAGATGCTGAGGAAGAGTTTGTCTCCTCCCTGTATTTAAGTACAGTACATGAACACTGTGCCAACAGGCAGTAGAAAAGTCAATGGAGCAATATCATTATGAGGTTCAGCTCAATAGTTAAAGAAAAGAACCTGAAGAGAAGAGTTTTCTTCAGCTATTACATGAGGCTACATTTAGACAGGCAGTCAAACAAGATTCCTCAGTCCAAATGTACGATACATCACATCTGATCTGTGTTTTATCTCTGTTCTCAGCATAGCACCTGCTGTCTAGACATAGTCAAAACTGACAGTACCATGTGACAAGTTTGTCTTCGCCCTATGAAACATCTTACATAAATATAAAATATCTGAGATATAAAAGTCAGTGCACAGTATGCCAGTGAACAGCAGAACCAGGGAGAACTCCGTGCCAGAAGGATTGCCATTTCACAGTGTTCCTCAGAAAGACCAGTTAGTCCCGTTTGCTGTGGTGAACTCCATTGTTATTGTTCTGCACCTGACCTGCACTCTGGTGAACTCTGGGCAGCCTCTTGCCTTTGGTGTATGCGTGATACCAGAAGTTGAGGAAGAGGAGGAGAAATACCACGCCATAGATAGCAATGATGTAGATAAAGACAGGGTACGGGTAGGGACAATCCTCCATGAAGAAGTACTGGCCAATGTGGCAGGTGACGATCACAAACTGGAGCTGAGGACACAGAGAAAGGGAATTTTATCAAGAAAGAGATTCTCTTTCAAACATCAGCCAACATTCTAAATACTCAAATATCATGTGACAAATGTATTATGAGTCAAGATTTGGTAACATTCAACTCAGACCCTAGACAAGGCATGTCAAATTGGGGAACTTCCAGGCCAAAGTGGTGTGGAGATCGTTTACCCTCTTCTAAGGCTCTAAATTCAGTTCATGAATGCCTTGTTGATTAGCTGATTGGCTGAATCAGGCGTGTTTAATGAGGCAGTGTGCTGACGTCTGCAGTGCTCTGGCCCATGAGGACTGGAGCCTGACACATGTGCCCTGGACATTTTTAAGTACATACTAGCTGAACAGATGTGAGGTGCTTCTTCCACCACAGAAACTTCTGATAGGCAGGACCCAAAGCAGAAAGGCCATAGTATGTATACATGATGACATGGACGATACAGTTCAGAAAAGCATGGAAAGTCCCCAGACCACCTGAAATAAGAGACACATTTTGAACATGATTAGATCTTGTTTCATTCTAACTGAAAACTGAAAATAAGACAACTTCTGTTAGATTTTTTTTTAAATAAAGATATGATGTGCATTTTTGCAACAATCTGCAACAATCTATTAAATGTGTGTTATTATTTGTATCATAGACTTTATTACTTTAAACAGGACATTCAATTTTACCACCCAGAGAACATCAGGTGGTGCAACCACACATTAATAAAAAAATGTAGAATGATGTTTTATTACATTATTCATATTATTATCCACATCATTATATCATTGATTCACACACAGATCTGAAGCAAAGGTGTGGCAGAGGACAGTGTACCTGCAGCAAATTTTACCCCCAACCACCAGGTGAATGGCATTATGGAGTGATGGTAGACATGCAGGAAGGTGACCTGGTTGTTCTTTTTTCTCAGCACAAAGAACACCTGGCCAGGAGGGACATGATCAAACCATCAATAAACAGAGCAGACAGGCTACAGTAACATGTCTAACCATAACGTGTCACTGTGGACCTTTAGCATAGATGAGGGAGCAATTGGCAGGTTACTTACTGTGTCCAGCAACTCTATAAATTTGGAAAAATAATACAGCCAGCAGGTGCTTGCCATCTAGCAAAGAACAGAATGAGGATGTTACATATTTGCATAGACGTTATCCAGAAGACAAAAGCTTGTCATAACACAAGACAATCAAAGTCCACATGGCGTTAAACCCACGGGGACCAGATATAAATCACATCAAGCACTACGTGCTTTAGGCATGATGACCTGCCAGATAACCATCATACTACGCACGCCCACAGCCAGCTTTCTGCTGATGCCTGCAAGCTGTATCTATAACAGCAAGGTAAAGATAAAGTCTTTCAGTTCCTCCGCAGCAGGTAGGGTTACATTCCCCTCCTCTGCACTTACCCTCATAGCCTGCGGAGATCGCGAGTAATCCACCAAGTCGCAGCCAAAAGAGTAACCCGTGCCCCAGCCAGACATTACAAACTGCACACACAGAGAAAATACCACATTATAAAGAGCACACAACATACAATTTAACAGAGAACCAGAAAGCCAGAAAGATTATATATATATATATATATAAGTAAAGAGAACAAGACATTCTTAACTTTTAATACATGTTAATTAAAAAAACCCTGATAAATAAATAGAAACATTAGGCAGGAAGGCACCTAGTTTGAGTGATGAAGGCAGGTTTAGGAACACCTGCCTTCATCACTCAAACGGTACCAGACCCTATTTAAATAGAGCGAAAAACAGCACATTGCTTCAGGATGGATTACTGGGATATGAAAGTAAAATAGAAGCCAGGTAAAACCCTTAAACATAAACAAAGCTATTACATACAAAGGCTTCCAATAAAACCAAAGCACTAGTTGTGGTTTGCACTCACTTCTACAATGACAGAAACAGAAAGATCTCCAGGTATGATCTCGGTTAAACCAGATTAGCATGACCTGACAGGCAGCAAAATGAATTCCAGTACAACATGTTTAATGATGTAAACAAATTATTCAAATCAGCTTTCACACCAGCAGGAAAGGAAAAGAACGCACCCAGTATACACTCCTACAACTGAAAGGGTACTTGTGCTTATAAACCTTTTACTGCTTTAAAATCCTCCTGTTCCAGGCTTACATTTTTAGAAATTAAAAAGCAGTGTAAAAGTTTACAGTGTAGGGCTGAAAGAGATTTTACGTCGGAACAACAATTTGAAATTTCAAACTGAGAGAGTTGCAATTTTAATTATAACCTACTAATTAACACTGCCTTAACAAGCTTAAGGTGGAGACACTGAACCTGATAACGCAGAACTCAGTTAGACCTATTAGAAGCGACCTAACATCCATATGCTGTGTATATGACAACACATCTACAACAAACAGGCAGTCTGGTGTACTATATCAAGCCAGAAAAAGTAGTTTTCCTGGTCTTTTTGAAGGCCCAGAGCTTGAATGATTGCTTGGATTTAAATCGCAGTTGTAATATTGATCAGAAAAATCATAGTTACATAATTTCCTCCAAATTGTTAAAACCCTACTGCAGAGCATTAAAGTGAAAATGAAAACAACCCAACAGCCACGTGTAATACCCACAATTCTAATGGTCTGACTGCAGTTATGCTAGCTGCGTTTTGCTAATCCAGTCACACAGAAAAAATAATGGACCATTTAAAGCTGGAGAACTTGGCGAATGTCGGACAAAAGTAGCATATTCAAGATTACTGCGATTTAAAAAGCCAGTCTAGTAGCAAAACTTTGATTACTAAAAATTAGCCAATTTTACTGCAGCATTTAAAAGTAATTAGCAGTATAGCACATCTTACATAAACTGGACAGCTTTCATTAACTTTCAAGCTGCATTGTGTAAGATTTTTGTTGTTAAAATAGAAAAAAGTAGCATTACTGCATCAGGAGGAGAGAGGGAGTGGAAAAGGAGGAAAAAAAACAGGATGCTAAAATATGGTAGGTGTGCATGCTGCTGCAAGTCTATGAAAGCGTATCAGTATCAAAATTAAAATGAAAATGTAATATGCAAAATTAATTTAAATTTTGCACTCATACATGCAAGTCTGTGCTCAAAATGAAAATCCATATTCAATAGCTCCATTTACATTTGCCCTTTGGTGCACTAGTATTTCATTTACACAAAGATGTAGATGCTTCATGAGTAGATTTATTAAAATTAAAATGTATTTTCAGAAGTATCTATTCATGTCTTAAGTGATCAGTGCAATAGTGGTGTCAAATATTACGTTACAGAACAGACAGAAAAGATACTATTACTGGTCTATAAATTGTTCAATTAACGCTACATTCCCAAACAAGGCCTGCTGTCATCTGCTGTTTTACCAGCTGGTTAACATGATCCTGGTCACTGTGTCACACATGTATACCAGCAGTTTTTGTAATATTAATTTTAAAAAGGAAAGCAGGACAGAGATGTCCCTAACCCTAGCTGAATCCGCTGAAATATGACATGGTACAGCAGTTGTTACCAGCTCAGCCACTGGGAAAAGGTGGTTGTGTGATTTAACTAACATGTCTATGTGTACTAGTACAATTACAACTAAATGGTAACAGATAACATCAAAGACAGCAATATCTCACAGATTAGATAGACCTCAATGCTGGATTAAGCAGTCTGCAGCCAATGGTCAGCTAACAAAGGCAATAATTTCAACCCACTTATTAAATCAGAAAAAACTTCAAGTGAAAGAGTGGATATATTGCTCCTTTTCACCCCATTTTCTAACAAAAGATCAGCTGCCATGGTCCAGATAAAGCCTTTTCTGCTGAGCAAGCTGTTTGGCCCGCCATGATGGGATGATTGACAGGATAAGAAGTCTGTGAAAACGAACATGCAATCTGGTCGAATGCATTTTTAAAGGCATTTTAACACAGAATGAGCGCAGTAGACGAGAATATGTAACTGCAAAGTGAAGAGACGCTGTTTCCAATTTACACTTGAATTTTGACGTGTTCTCTTTGATAATGCAACTTCAAAAACATTAATGCAATTAAGTTAAAGCACATTTTAATAATCATTTTAGTAGATACTTCATTCGCGCCCTTAGAAGACGCGTCCCTCTCCAACTGCACTTGGTGAAGGACATGTCTTGCGATCTTCTTGTTTCGATGGTTACACAACTAAATCAGCCAGTGGAAATAAACTGGCTATTTGCACCATTCTGACATTTAGACCACTTACCTCATAAGACATGTAGAGAGAAAGGGCCACCACACTGAAGTTGTAGACTACGAGGACCCTCTTCAGATCAAACGGTTTCCTGTTCTCCATAAGCCTGGGCCCCAGCGACATCACAAAGTATATATAGGCGGCGATTATAATGGTCTGAGGCAGCGGAGACGACATGAGCAGCCAGTCTTGTGTCCTGGGGTCTGAAGTATTGCAGTGTTATTAGATTTCAAAGCAATACCATTTAATGTATTACTTATATTGGTAATATTGGGCACAGTGAGTGACACTATAACACTGAGAAATGGCACATGCCTCAACATAATATCATTACCTTACAGTGTCACCACATTAAGAGACAGTTCTCAACCACAGTTTCCCCCTTACTCCAAATATAGTCAATCAGCAGGTTTGGTGTCTAAAGTTTGCTATAGCTTTTGCAATAGAAGCTAATGTAGCTAATATGTAATGGAAGCTTATAGCCCACCAACTAGCATCATGCAAACCATAGGCCAAGTAATCTCAGATAGACTTACAGTATATCCTACATACGTAATCAATAAGAATAAACACAACTGACTGCAGAGGTAATTAGGGATGCACAGTGATATCAGGATTATAACAGTATCAGTGGATAACTGCTTCTAAATAAATAAATAAAATAACAAATAAACAGCATCAGACAGATGTTTAGAAGTTTCAAACGGATATTTGGTAATGCATTTATTGTACTCATTTTTCTTACATTTTTCTAAGAACATTTTTCTTAGTCCTACTACACTAAAAAATCTATTTTGCTCATTTTATTGCAACTACTGTAACACTACAGAAATAAATTGTTGTATTTCTCTATAGTGTTAATCCAAGTGGATTTATTCCCCCTTTCTACATTTTATAAATTATGTATTAGCATCAGTAGTATGTAGATGAATGCGGAAAAATAAAGAAAGAAACAAATCAATAAACCTTGCTAAGATATTACCGCATCCCTTTACATTACACTAAAAACACTAGTCTTTGCAGATTAACTATATTTAGGCTAAGCGGAAACCTGTGGAAAACAGATTTTTGGCTACATCATTGCTTTAAGCTGGTCAATTAACAGAAATTTAGTCGTCACATGCAGCTGACTTGCTTGTAATATTATTGGAACAGAATGTAACAACCCTACATAGACACGGTTTCACTGATTTCTCTACATTGATGTAATAAGCACGATGCAGAGTACTTAATTTTAATGCCATTTCCACTTATTGTAGCTTTTTACCTGCAACCTTCATCCACTCGTCGTATATCCGTACAGCAGTGGAGGTAAGCTCTTTAAGTGCCATCTCTGCCTCAAACTAGAGCCTGGAGAATATGAGAAATGGGTTAAGATGCATATATTTCGGAATACGGAGCTGTAAGTACACAAAATTACTTTCAGTTCTCAAACTAAAGCAATAATGTTAAGTCATGTAATAATATGATAATACCTAACAATATTTTCAGAAAGACAATTTTTAAACCGATACAGACTTTGACTTCGATTCAGATTCCGAAAGAGGTGTGTGGCTTACACCTGAAATGAGTGCGAGGTGCTGGAAGTGGGTATGTTTACAGACCGCAAAGAACTGCAGACTTAAGAAGTGCTGACAATGTATTTTAGACAGCCGATCAGCAGACTAGATCCCGGAACGAGCAAAATGATGAACCACTTAGGTACTGAAATGTGGTATTAAATTACAGTTTTTGATACTGTGTAGTACTGAGTTAATTTAGTCAGTATTATGAAAGTATTAAATGTCAGTACTCAGCCACAAAGGCAAATTTCAGATTTTTTCCATCAACAACTGGTCCTCTGTTGTGATGATGCAATTTTCCTTCATTCAATCAGTGCAACAAAATGCATAACCAGCAAAACTGAAGATCGCGAGTGCTCAGTGGTGATATCGTACAGTGAGGTCAATGGGAGCGACCGGCTCGCTTATGGTGAACTCAAAGAAAGGTTGCATTGTACACAAATAAGCAAAACCCAGCAATCCTACCACTCTCCATTCTTCCCACCAAGCTTCAAGACGAACAAGGGACTGAGTGTTAGGACACAATGACCAGCAGTCAGTTTATGCTAAGCGTGCCCTGCCCAGGACAGCACTTATACTCTCTGGAGTGGCCGATAAATAAATAAATAAACCAATAATAAATAAGTATTTATGCAGATTGCCAGTGTGCAATATTTACTTAACAAAGACATTTATCAAAACGATATCTATCAAAATTTGCATGCACCACAAACAAAGGAAGAACACAGTGAATTCCAATCTGGGCTCATCTATAAATCAGGGCTACTTTGTTGATGGCCACCCTCTGTATTCCAGAGGACCGGGTTTGATCCATGTCTGGAGGACAGAACACCAGTGGCTGTGTTTTTGGAGCATTATGGATGCAGAACAAATGTCAAAGGAAAATGACAAAAGGTCAGCAGAAGCTGCATATGCCAGTCCATTTTTACTGATAAAAATGGGGGAAAAAATCCTGAAAACGTGGCAGACGATAAATTGTTAAGCATTCCTGTAGATGGGTTAAGAAAACAGTTTAATCAACCGCAAAATCTGAAGTGAATACACACCTTTACAGCACCCTTGGGAGACTCACTGAGTAAACAATCCCCATTCAGAATTCCTCACATAGTCTAAGAATAAAGCTAAACGCTCTGATCAACCAAATGAATGCATTTAAACATCAACTAGAAACTAATCCTTCACTGATGAACTGAATACTATCATGTTTGATTTGACAGCTTGGAATCAGTTACTATAGATTTACAACACACATTTACTCAGGACACCTTCACCATAGTGAAAACAATGCACACACCCAACATACCAGAAACAGTCAATTCAAACGAGAAATGATTCAACGTGTTATAATATGGACATTTTATGGGCTACTCGCTGAAGTCAAATGCCTACTTATTATGATAATAATGAACGTAAAGCCAGCGCAAGCAAACAAGCTGCGACACGCCGGTTAAACTCTCGCGAGTCAAACAGGTTAATAGCGCAATAAAAGGTCGGACTTCCCTGCGGACAGGTGCATCTTAAAGAGTTACAACGGCTTGAGTGAAGAGGCTGCGTTCCAATATGCGCTCTAGCTAAAACGCTTAGCGAGTGCGCAGAATTCTGAACGAATAGTAAAGTGGAGCAAGTTAGAACTCAAGTATGCATATTGAAACGCAGCCAGTGTCCCCCAAATCCTGCACTTGTAGCTCACATTCTCTGCTCACTTTTCTTTATCAAACACAACGCATTTCCACCTCATGAAGGTCTAGTTAATGACCTGATGAGTTGGAATGTGTTTTAGATACAGAGAGGACTCTTAGAGGGAAAAACGCTCTGGGTAACACCATTTCATAAACTTGACCCACAACCGTTGGACTCGCACTTCATGATAGCATCAGTAGCAGAGAAAATGTTACAGCTTTCACAAGTGTTTTCACCCCAAAATATTCTGAATAAACAGCCTGTTTACAGGCAGAGTTAAGCTCCTTGCATTTCCATCCTTCGAAAAGCAAAACACAGCCAGGCACTGATTTGTATCCGCTTTGCTCTTACCTGTTACACTCGCCTCAGGTCCTCCAGCACTTCCCTCTCGAAGTTTCCCCACTATGGCGCTGATTCGCCTCACTTCATCAATTAAGCCACAACCGGGCGTGGCCAACAGTGGGCGGAGTCTCCATTGCGAGTGTCTAACAGGCGACTGTGATTGGCCAAGTGTCAACTCAGGCAAAAAGATCTTTGTTTTGCATGGAACTTAAGAAACACAGTCTTTAAACCGCAATTTTCTGTCTTGTTGGTAACTGCTACGTTTGGAAACACAGCCGGACTCAGAGTATTCATCACAATAAAAAAATTCATTTATTGGCAGTAAAAAAAATCATTATCAGCACCCAAATCTCTCACTCGCATTATGCTTTGAAAAACTTGCAGTCCAAATATAGGTCAAAGGTAAAACCCATACTAGAGGTGTGGTCATAGCACCTGGCCACACCATGTAAATGAAGGAGAAAAATGAGACCCAGTTTCTGACTGCATTTACTGACACATACTGCAGGCACAATCTGTTCACAAGAATTCCCAAACCTACTCACGTAGATACAGTAGTCCTAAAACTATTTGGACATTTGTGCCATACTCTATAACTCTGTAACATTGTGTTAGGCAACAAAATGTCACACCAACTGTTATCTATTTTAAACCTACCATTCCAACACTGTAATTCTCTCTCAAAAGGCGACCAGCAGTTACAGAATGTTGTGCTGTTTGCAGACGTCTGCTGGTTCGCATCCAACATGCCTTTGTACACTTCTGAGTTCATGACGTCATCAGTGAACACAAGTTTAAATCATTTTTGGGGCCACTGTACACCGCCCTGTTCCAACCCTAATCTAACACACCTGACCCACACTAAGTATATTAAGTAGCATCTATTAAATCCTGTTTCACTATACAGGGTCACTGATGTAGAGGAATGCAAATAGGTACATGCACAACAAAAAGAAAACAAAAAAATAAACCAAAAAACAGGCTTGTAAATGAAAGTAGACACATTAGTTAGAGATTTTTGGCATGATACAATACAGTACATTCAGTTGTGGTATAACAGAGTCTCTGAGGCTTGTTCCCCTCTGAAAGAAAGCTCCAGCATATTGCACTATAGTGTGACTGTTCAGTATTGCAATATTTAAACTGTGATTAGCTCATTTAATCTTCATCGCTGCTCCAGGCGTCTTCGAAAGCAGGATTAACCGCATTTTGGGCCCCACCCTGCGAAGAAATGCCATTAGTCTGACACTTCACATTCAAGCACTCTCAAAACACTGATGTCTTATTAATAGTATTATCCAAAAGAGGCATCTTTGCAAAAAAGGATAATAATTAAACAGTATGATGATTTCAGTATGTGGCTGATTTTTTTAAGCACAACAGGTATAGCTAGACCTGCTGGATTGCTCCAGAGATCTTAACTCTATGCCTGATGAACAGAGAGGAAAAGTGACCTGTGAAGTATGCACTGTGACGACCTGTTTATCTGCAGGGGTCCCCCTGTGCGTCATGACTATCAGCTGCAATCTGAATCTGATCTGAACTCTTCTCTTCGCCTACGTTCTTACAGTGACACGTACAGTGGTGTGAAAAATACAACTAGCTATCTTTTATTTATTTAGTTAAATATTTCATTCCAGAAAAGCTGATTCTTACCCCAAACTAGCATTTTTTAGTAAAGAAAAATGTATATTTTCATTCTTTATAATGTTTCTGAGGGTAAAAAGCCAAAATTAAAATGCCCCTTACAACTTTATGATTGTAGCCCCTCTCTCTTGTTTTTGTTCATCCAGTTAGTGGATTCTCCAGGCCCGGTGCCATAGGGGGACAAAAGACTCTACAAAATCTTCATGCCCCCTCAGTTTTGGACAAAATGATTTTAAACATTAGTGTAGTTTACTTTTGCCATTACAAAATACCAGATCATTATCTCCAAAGACTTTTATTGTCATTGTGGTCAGGTACTATTGTTACATACTGATATAAACATCATCATATCAAGCGCTTGATTTAACCACGCATGCAAGTACAGTCTGTGTTTAGCTCGAGGAACTAAGCCCCTTTACTAAATACCAATTGTCCAATTGTAATTTAGCTTAGACCAATATGCCGCATGCTGGAAAAATTGAATTTTGCTCATTTCCTAAGTATAGGATCTGGATTAAACACTGTGGCAGACCGCATCACCAATTAAACTTGTCAAAAATCCAAATAAGCTTTCTTAGTCTGGCTAGCAAACAAAGTCCTCTTAGATTAGTCCCCCGCCACTGAAAATATGATATTTGCTGTAATATGTGGGGCTTGGGGTTAGGTGCATTTTTTTTATTGAACATTAATATGCTTTTGGTTTATGCGTATGTGATAATGCTGAGGCTTGCTACTGCTGTAGCAACCATCAGACTGCAAAATTTCATTCAGGTCACCTGGATAGTTGCAAAGTATGTTTTACTTAAATCATCACTGCCCCCTGTCAGAATTTCATGTGCCCCCATTCAATGTTACTCAGTGCTGACTCTGAGAGGCTCTCGAGAGAACTGTAACTTCTCATTTTGATGTTGGTTTTTTTAGTTTACTGCCTGTTATTTATCCACAGGTCTTCCGCAAGTACTGTCCAGCATAGTCTACTGAAAGTGCTTTAGATATCGCTTTAAAAGCCACTTAAAAGCTGCATTTGAATGAGAGGGCTACAATAGCGAAGCGACACCCTAGCAACATATCGAGCATGAGCTGCTGGGCTTTAGCCTGCACCACTACGAATGGTTCAAAGGGTCAAACTAGGAAAATACGTTAATGGTGTTAAAAAAAATCATTGTGCCGTTAATCATTTATTGCATTAATAACACATTACCTTTGACAGCACTAGTATAAACACATTTATAAATATAATAAATATTTAAACATCACCAACTTTAAAAAATAGGGGAAGTTGTTGACGCAAGCTAATGCTTTGCTTCAGTTGAGAACTTTGTCAAAGAGAGAAGTCTGTTGGTCTTAGTCTTAGTCTAAAGCAGTCCATAAGGTAAAGAAAGCGCTAAATAATTGTCTACATTCTTCCTCCAAACAGAAAGCAAAATGTAATTTTTGCTGTGTGATCCCTGAATAATTCATACCACTCAAATAGGACATCTTGCAATTTTTTACACCTTACTAGATTTGCGCATTTATGCAAAATACTGGCTTGAATCTCAAAGTGAATCAAATCAGTAATAACAAGCTTGTATTAAGAACATTTTGACTTCACCCAAAAGGTAAGACATGTTTCAGTCAATCTGTTGTCTTTTTAAAGGCTAGCATCCTCACTAGGAAGTTCATCTTATCTACAAGATAAATATGCAGCAAGAATCAATAGGTGTTGGCGCCCAACCTAGACACCACCTCTAGCTCTACGATACATGGCTGTCTCGCAGGTTTGAGAACCCTAGGGGATTGGTTCTTTGTCTTCAAGCTGGCCTACCTTTACAGAGCCAGCCCCCTCATCCTCATTGTCAGGTTGACGTAGCACAGGCACCCATGCCAAGATGTTACAGTCCTTTCCACCACTGTAGAGCTCCTGAGAACCACGCACACAAGAGACACAGACGTATAATGAGCAAGTGTTTTCTCTGGTTCGTCTTTGGTTACAGTGTCTTTGTACAGTGTAATCCCTGGAGACAAGCTGCTAATGTGTGTTCCTGGATAAAATTTAATTTCATGGGAAAAGGCTAACATTCCAAACACTAGCCTAAGAGGTGGAGTCTAGTAGGCATTGATACAGGACTGAAGTTCAGCTCAAAAGACACCGTTACCTGATATTCATTACAGCAAACAAACAAAGAGGTAGCAAGGTATTAAAAGCGATTTAAGAAACCATTATATTACACTTCCCTTGCTCTTAACAATGATTGGGCTGTTGTTCACCAGTACACTGTAACATCTTTTTAAAAGTATAAGTAATTTAAGTACTGTGCCTTTAAATGCACAGGATCTTTACATAAAAATATTTAAAATAGAACATTCAGTGTGTTTACTGTCATGCAAAAACAATCGCTCATCCATTCACTCAGAAATGCTCCTGTTACCTGATAGTCTGTGTGGAACTCACAGCAGTCTACATTATTGTAATGTCCCCTCAGCATAGTGACCAGTTCACCGGTGTGAAGGCCGTACATGGCCACAGAGCTGCCACATGGCACAAAGACAAACTCTGGGCTGCAGCCTCTCGACACGGTGAACTTCACACCTTTACGGCTCTCGTTAACCACCTTCCCATAGTTAACCTGAGAAAAATAACACAGGAACTCCAGTTACAATAAAAGGTTAGCAATATGGCAAAAAATAACATCATGATACTTGAGGACATTTTTGCAATACACAATACCTGTCATTTTTTTTAAAGGTTAATAAGCTGAAAAAGACACAAACTAGTAGAACCAAAGTTCACAAGCAATCAGCATCAAACAACTCATTCCAGCAATCCTCCTGCCGCCCAACACTACTGTAGATATTAAGTTGTGTGATAGTAATGATAAGTCACCATTTTCATCATTTTTCTTCATTCAAATTGTATTCAAAATATCAAGAGAATACTGAATTGTGAACCCAGCATCATAAACCAAATCGTGGGCTGAGTGTATTGTTACACTCTTACTAATTAGTATGAGAAATTAGATTATTAAATTGGCCCCATGTGAAAAAGTAACTGCCCCCTTTGTTATGCAATCAACCAATTAACTTAAGTTAGTTGTTAAGCGGGACCAATTAAATTAGGCATACAGAGGCTTGATTACTGCCAGCTCTGTTGAATATAAACATCACTTAAAAAGAACCTTTCCAGCACTATGCTGTAATCAAAAGTAATTCATAAAAGATAGGAAGTCAGTCCATTCAGGAAGTCACAAAAGAAACCAGATAAAAATTTAAGGAACTGCAGGCGTCACTTGTTTCAGATTAGGATCAGCGTTCATGAATCCATCATTAGAAGGGACCGGGGGTGGGGGGGGATGCAAGGTGAAAACCACTGTTAACTAATAGAAACACAATGGCTCGTCTTACATTTGCCAAAAAACACCTTGATAGACCCCAAGCTTTTTGCGATAATGTTTTGGGGGCTGCTGAGTATCTTAAACCATTTAGTGTGACAAATATGGAAAAATAGAGAAAATCGGGAGTTGGCAAGCACTTGTTCAATGGCAGTGTATGTATTAACATTTTAGGGTAAGACCAACTCTACATCATCTTACTTATTCTAAGACATTTGATAAATGTGTTTTCAACCTGAATATCTTCTTCATCTTTTTCTGTCACAAGGAGCCAAACAGAAAGAAAGATGCTATCTCAGCTGACAGAAGAATGACAGATTTTCTCCCTTAAAGGCAATGACTTTTGCGTGAGAAGTGAAGCAGCAACACCTCTTTTTTATGAACAACAAATTCAGACTCTGACAGAGTGTTTACAAAAGTCCAAAAGAGAAAAGCTTTGTGCCTCAAGTTCAGCCTGAGGTCTCCTGGTTTGGAGTAGAACAATTCATGTAGCAAAGCACATTCTGATTGTACCTACAGTGCTCATGTTTTTCTGCCTACCAGTGTGTTCTCGCCAGTGGCGCTGTTCCACAGCCGCATGCGGTCGTCTGTGCCTGTGGTGAGGAGATAAAGGCCGTCATCGGTGAAGCACAGGCCATTGACGCGTCCATCATGGGCTGTGTTCACTGAGGAGAGAGGTGAGAGTCACCAAAAGCACATAAACGTCTATTAAAGCAATACAACGAAATCAAATTTTCCTCACTTTTTTAAATAAAAGTTACGTAATTATATAAACATTGTTCAAAAACATTTTTGTTTTTTTATGACACATTTTCATACATATGCCTATTACTATAAAATTTTAAAGTTATAAAGAAGGTTTCAACGCAGACTGCTTTTTGAATGAGGCACAATACAGGGCAGACAACCAGAACAGCACTCATTTACATACAGTCATAAGCAAAACTTTGAATACCCTGGGTCAGTGGTACTGGACCACTCAATCTGTTCCTTCTGCCTTCCTTTAGTTCTGCATAATATTGTGAACATGCATTATGCAATAACAATAACAACGCACTCAGCAAAACAAAAAGTACAGTAATTAAGATCACTAGATTCACAGCAGCTTGTTAATGTTTCTATAGCAGTTTATGATGTTCTTGTCAATTTGCACTGAAACGATCTATGACTGATGGTCAAACATGCCTCTGTGCAAAAGTTCTGCTCATATTATCAAAAAACGGCAGGACCTGGAAAATTGCTGGAAAATCTTAACTGGTGAACCTTTAACTACAGTAAGGTCTTAAAACATCACTGAAGCGAAGCACATATGAAAACTCTATGGTACAGTATATGTAGTTCCATCACAACTATAGTGAATGGGCCTACCTGATTCAGAAGAGGCCTTAGACTTGTCCCCGTTGTGCTGGTCTAATGTAAAGAGGCTTCCAGAGGCCCGTCGCACATCCCATACACGCACCCTGCTGTCAGTACTGAGGCAGAGTTACAAGGCACAAACTAAATTACCCACAATCCTTGTTTAATACATTACTTTACATTATGACTAATTATCATTACTGATGATAATAACAATAATAACAACAACAACAAGTAAAAACAAAGAAATGTGTGATGTTCAATTAAGTGTTTGTATTTATCTTATTTACCTAATAATTATCTTTGGACAAAAAACTCAAACAAGTAAGTGCTGCAATCCTGCGACAGAGGATGATGCCATGTTTGCTTAATTGTTTTTCAAGCAGGTTAGACATTGTTATGCTCTCAAAGGACTAATTAGCCGTTTCTTTTGCTAGAGAGCAGATGAGCTCCTTAACCACTAGGTGATCTGTAAGTGCACTCTAATTCAGCACTAAATTTGGCATCAAAACTTTAAACATGTAAAACAGATACTACAATTTAAGTTGCAATCACAAATGTGTAAAGTCACTTTCATTGAGCATAAACCATTAAACAGTATTTTGACATACGCATCATTCTCTTTTTTCTCATTTATTTGACCAATCATTCTCACGTCGTCTAGAAATTCACGTTTATAGAACATTGAGTACTGCCACTTAACACATTGTATCTCTTGCTTTGGGTGAGCAGTCCAAGTTTTTTTCTATGAACGGTGATCACATATGGTGACCGGCCTTACCTAGCAGTGGCCAGGATGTGCTCATAGCGTGGAGACCACCTGACAGAAAGAACTTCCCCTCTGTGACCTGAACAGACACATAATAACACAAACCTCCTCATAAAATTCCCAGTACATTTCTTTCAGCAGAGTTTTACAACATTTTGTTAGTGAGTGATGTTACAGAGGTTTGTGCTTCAACAGAGTGTCCTTAGACTACCCTCAGTATGCTGCTGGGACTAGAAATAATGTATTTTTGCAAAATGGGAAGAAAGAAGACACAAATGTTGACAAAACGTTGACAAAAGCAAGAGCCAATTTTTGCCATTTGAAAAATACTCAATATATTATATGCACAAACATGATCCTACATCATCACCCTTACTGTGTTGTCTCCAATCTCTGCAGTGAGTGCATTACTCACCCTGAAGGATGTGAATACGGGAACCAGACTTCAGATCACACAGCTGGACTTTAGGGTCTTTGGTACCAACTGCCAACACACAGCACAATGGAGACAATTGAGAGTCTTTAGCAGAACAAGACAAACTCAATCCTAACAGACAAAAGAAGCCTCATAAATACCCTAAATTAACCAATCCAGTATAGATTTGTACAGCTAATTTGGCTTACATCAGATATGCTGAATATGTTCATTAACTGTACAAAATTAAAACTTCCAACCATGAGACAAAAAGTGCCAATAATACAAATGATTCAGTGATCTTCAATGATTCAATGATTCAGGAACCCTTTCCTGCATTTCTGTTGGTATTTATTTTTCTACCTGAAGACTTAGACTGAGACATATAAATGAAAACAGAGTTCAAAACGAATTGTTTTTGCAGCCACATATCAATAACTCATTTATTCCAAAAAGTGAGAAAAATATTTCCAAGGTATGGGCCCTTTATTTATTTCTTTACGTAATTAGGTCTTATTTTCAGTGGAGAACATGCTCCCTCTTAAGTGTGTTGAAAGTTAAGGTCACTTTGTTACTCTTACGTCCTTGACTGTGGCTTTAAATCATCAAGTAAAAACATATAAAAATATCATTCAAAATACTAAAAAAACAAGAGTAAAGGATAAATATGAACAACTTATGTATGAATGTATGAATAATTCTGTAATAATTATCCAAGTATATTCTGTATTTACAAAAACAACTATGTAACAACACCTATAGGAGCAAGCGGAGCACAATAAAAGCCATTGTTTAAAATGCTTAGCAGCATCTTTGTTTCTGAAAAACAAACCTGTTAGTCCAGTTTGTTGGAGATAGCAGAAACGCATTAGAGCAGAATAGAAATGATAAATATGAGCTCAAACACTGGGTTGTTTACTCTAAGGCCTGATTTTATAAAGCAGATGGAACTCAAGGACAGTTTCGATTAAACTGTGTGTGGAAAGCCACAATTACATATTATAACATGTAATCAGGGAATATGTCAGGAAATGCCAAATGCTCAAGAGTAAATGCTGCAGTATTTTCACTGGTGTCTTATAACAGAGACCCAAATTCCACATGCAAATAAAGTCACATATATTAACTCAAAATAAAGGAAAGAAAAACAAAGAAACAAACTGTTGTTTATGCTAAAAAAAATAAAATAAAATATATATATATATATATATATATATATATATATATATATATATATATATAGCATCTTCAAATTAAAACTTCTTTTATCTTTAAACTTTTTTTAGGACTTATATTTTAGTTTGTAAGATTTCATTTCTCATCGATAGTAATTTAAGCCTTTTTCCAGTTTATTGTAACTGCATTAACAATTTTAGTAAAACAAATTAAAGTTGAACTTTTTATTATACTTAAAAATTAAATTGACATGACAAACTTTAATTACTCTGGCAAGCTATTTTTCCTGATCACAGGAATGCAACTTACACATGTGAAAACTGAGAGGGAGAGAGATAAAGGTACATAGGTGTTTAAAACTAGCTCTTCCTGCTCTGGCGTGGAGGCTGGTGACTGAATTCCTCTCGTATCTCTCGTACCTCTGCTGCATTCTTCTGTTCTACCTTTGATTCAGAGGTGCACAATCTGGATAGATCTGTGCTCCATTAGATGCATACATTTATCAGGTCCATATCCTATGCTTTCTTTTATTTATTCTTTTTTTATATTAATATAAATGAGCTCTGTTCTGATTTACCGCCCTCTATTGGGCCTCATTCAAAAAGCAGACCAGGCTAAAACCTTCCTTGTAAATTCAATATGAATGGGCAGATCTAACCAGGCTGTGGGCTGAATAGGTAAATGCACTCATTTTGTGACAGAAAAAGAATTTAAAAACAATAAGAAGAATAAAAGAATTCATCCAAAACAAGTTTTTATTTTCCACATATGGACTGGGGAGTGAATGGTATGTTTTGAAACTTTTAACAATGCTTAAATATTGATTTAACCTCAAAAAAGCAAGGAAAATTTGTTTTTCCATTCTTTTCAGTTTTTTTTTATTATTACTACATCATTTTAAAGTAAAGAGTGTCTCTTATAACCATTGCCATTATGGGGACACAGGGTTTTGTTACATCAGAGATGAAATATATATTTTATATTTTGAATGCACATGTACACATTAACATCAATGCTATTCATAAAATAACATCAGTGCAGCGTAAATGCACACAATTAGTTAGCATGAAGCCTGCTCTTACTAAGCCTCTCTGTCTGTCTCTAACGCTGAGAGAGAGTTGAAGTCATAAACTACACTTTAAAAAAAGATTGTTCTTCAAGGGTTCATCTACTGTAACAAGTTTGACATTATAACAATTGTAGATCCCCTTTTGGTGCTGTATACAACCATTTTAAAACAAATATTCTATATACAACCATATACAACACATTCTCCAATAAATCTAGAACCATTTCACTAACAAACCATTTAAGCTTAAAGTAGATCATGATTTTAAATAGACCGATTACCTTTACTAAATAACCCTTGAAGAACCATTTTTCAAACGTGTAGTTCATTCTTAGCAATGCATATCTTTTTTTAATATCTATCAGTCACTGACTGCTTAGCTAAGCAGGCAGAAAACAGACCGAACACTAAATAAACACACCTGCTATTAGACTGTGTTTCCTGGCAATAGGTGACATATGGTGGCAGTAGACATTCCCTTCAAACTGGAACGCTTCAGCTGGCTAAACAAAATATGTAGAATATTTATTAAACCTTTGCCTAAAAAGACACATTACACCATAAAGTTTTAATAGTAATATTACGACAAACAAAATTACAACTGGACAGAAGATGCATAAGATTGCAGAAGTGAACCCATGGATGTATTTACATCTGTTCGTCGGTTTCAATGGCAGTAACAAATCAAACACTAGTGGCCTCATTACGCACGGGCTGAAGATAAGAGACATTTGACACTCCTATGGCTGGCACAGTTTGAACAACAAGCCAGCATCGTGATGGTAATTTAACTTGTTGAGTGGTGCGTCATTTATAAACAAGTGCAGTATTAATGTATCCACTCTACAGAGGATCACAACGTTTCTTCAAACAATGCACTGTGTACTTTAAATGTCTCTATTTATCCGTAAGGTAGAACTAGTAGCATGCCAGATTAAATCAGGGGGTGGAGATTTAAAGAGAGAAAACAGACCTTCAAAGTTTCTGTGTCCCAAACTTTCATGGTTTTGTCAAATGAGCTGGACACAAACATGCCAGTGTCATGAGGGTACCACTGGACTGTCTCCACACTGAACTTGTGCACATAACGACTTGACCTAAATACAAACAAACAAAATGAATAATTTAATTTCCAGTCAAAACAAGACATTAAGTTTAAGTTATTAATTTATGTGTCAAAAAAAGCAGAAAACAAACACCTAACAGAAAGTTACACAGGACACTCAAAAAACTAAATATAACATTATTTTCAGAATTTAGTGTTTTTAGTGCTTTATTACAGCTTTCATCCTTTTCAGGGGTCTTGCTTTTAGTTTTTCAAAGAAATCTGCAGGGATATTTTTCACATTTCCAAAGTTCGGTCTTAGAAATTGGTTGCATTTTCTGTTTCTCATGTTCCGAGCAATCCCCATTACAAATTTAGACTCATCAGTCCATTAAATCTTACCGCACATCTCCAGACATTTCTTTTTTTTGCATTTCCTTTTCTCGGTAACAGCTTCTTGACACCTGCACATCCTTTTAGACCCACAGCATTGTCTTCTCACAGTGGAAGAATGCAGTTTGATAGTCTCCTATCTCTTAAAGATGAAAGCTTTAGGTACTGTTTATCTGATGGTGACAGTTTTGGTGGTCTAACAGCTCTTACATGGTTGTTAGGAGTCCCATTTTCTCTATAACAATTTTTGAAGTTTTGGAAATTCTTCTAGCCATGTTAGATGCACATGAGGAAAAAAAATGCCAGACAGCTAAGGGGTGTTTGTATAGTTGCTTTTGTGAATGTTTGTGTCTTTTTAAAGGAGAACATAATGTCAGTGACTCCTTTGGGAATAGCTTTTTTTGGGAGGACACTAGTAACTGGTTGCTAACTGGCTTTAACTGGTTGGTGCACAAAAGTAAAGAGTGAACTAATTAAATGCTGATATATATTAGTGTTGGTGGCTTCTGTGTAATTTTCTGTTAAATATACATTTTCTGCTTGTTTTCTGACACTGAAAAGGAACATGTTGCTTAAACAAAAGGGTGGTCTCTGACTGTTGCACAGTACTGTATATTATTAATAAAACAATACGCTTGACAGTAAAAAAACAGTGCTATGTGCTACTTATGATTTAGGGTAATACTGGCACCTAGTGATCATTAATCAGAAGACACAAGCACATCAGCCCTACCTGCCCACAGTGCAAACTGCTTTGCATGTGTAATGTGGCTTCTTGCTGTTGTTTTCCAGGTCATAGATCACAATTACTCCATCTGAGCCTCCTGACAACATACTACAAAGCAGAAATTTGGTTATACGTAGCTCAGTTCTGGTCATCATGAACTTCTGCACTGCATAATTGAATGTTTTTCCATGTTCCAAAATGCATAACTCAACCCATTCATTTGTTTTAAAAGGCTGTTTTGGAGTAGTAAAATTACAAAACTGTACAGTGCTGGCAGAATCCATAAGAAGGAGTGAAGCATCATTGGACTAGCAATACAAAATTCACTTGTAAGCAAATATTCCAACAGAACATGACTTACTATCTCCCTTCAATGACCTCAATGTCAATAGTGTTGATTCCATTCCCATGAATACGTTCCACATCTCTGTCGTGATTTAACTCCAAACTCAGCACCCTACAAGGACAACACTTCATCACAATGATGTTCATTCACTCATGAAAAGTGACAACTATGTTCTTATTATGGGGACTGGCAAGTGTTTGCCTTCTATTAAAAGAGCAATCCGGCCTAAAATGAGCATTTAGTAAGTTATTTGTTATGTTATGTAGTATTTTGTAGTGCAGCACGTCACCCCTCAGCCTCACTGGTTTGACAAAATACATAATTTTGTATCACTTTCGTGTTTTCATCCTGGAAACGATGCTTAACAAATCCTGAAAGCCAGCCACAGATCCAGAGGTTAAAAAATACACCTGTGGTGCTAGTTAGCATTAGTTATACAGTACTAAATACAACTGGTCATTTATGTTAAACAAATAAACCAACTAGATAGCAAAAAACAAACAACCCACTCACAGGTATCCACCACAAAGCACATGCAGTCTGTCAAAATTTACTTCCACGTTCAAAATACCTCATAAGAATGGGCTTTTTCAATAAAAGGGAAAATCTTATTCTAGGCATTCTAGTGAGTACCACAGAATCGATGTAGGCAGAAGAGTAGACATGTTTACAATAGATGTAGCGATGTTGATCTGTGTTCATTTCACCGGGGTTGCTTTTAAGTTAAAATCATACAGCAGTGCCCGCATAGAACGCAACAAATCTACCCAGCTAAAAATACTTTATAAAATTTAAACAACCCAGAGACAGCCTTTCACCTATTTTGTCATTGTCAATATGTAAAATAATTTTAGCAAAACTTCAGTGCCGTTATTGTTCATAATAATGAGAAGTATTGTTTATTGTGGAAACATGTATTATTTGGGAAAATCACAGAGCTAAATACACACATGTATATATACGACGAATCTTATACTTTTAATGGCTAAGTTTTATATTCATAAGTGTATATTGTCCGGCAAAAGGCCCACTGTTGTTGCCTTTGAAAAGGAGATGGAACATTAACGTTGTATTGAATTAATACAGCCCTCTTTAAAACAAAAATGCATACACTACAAGATTTTTGTGTAGTTATGTATATCCCCCAGGCAAATGTATTCATGTAGTTATGTGTATAGCATTTTTATATTCATCTGATGTTTTGCAGTATGTAGCTCTGTACTAACTTATATATTTGCTTCAATAAAAAACGCAACAAATCTTACCTTCTTGTCGACTCTGCTCGTCTCAGGCGAACTGGGTCGTCTACACCCGTTTGTCGGGCTGTAAGAAAACTCAGCATGTTTGCAAAGTTGAATATACAGCCATTTTATTTAACTTATAGTACCACTACTACTGTAGTCTGTCTGTTTGGAGAACTGGTTAGCTAACCTAGCTAATTAGCTAGCCAGCCTCTTGAAAATGCTAGCTAGATATCCCACTCCGTTTCCTGGGCCGGTGAAACTTTCGTGTTGTAACGTTACTGTTAAAAATATTACCTAAAATCATAATATCTTAAATATCACGGAACACTAAAACTACTTCAGCTCTGAGGTTTGATTCATTGTTTTGTAACGTCAGTCAGCGTTGCTGCTTGAGCAGAAGCCGTCATGTTGTTACGTATGTCAACAGAGGTGTAAAGCGATTTGTGATTGGTTGGAGCGATTCAGCAAGCCAATCATATTACGGCTTCTTTTTCTGTGAAACCGTTGCGCAAAACCCTTCACAGTGTGCAGCGCCACCAGTAGGGCTCGAACGCGGCTAAAGTCAAAACATTGACATCAAAACTGCTCCGAAAAAAGTGTTATAATGAGCCGTTTCACCTCTCTTCTGCGGAGAGCGTTTGGAGTAGTGAAAGAGCATGTTGGAACAGACCATTTTGGAAATAAATACTACTACATACCCGAGCAGAAGACATGGACAGGTAGGTTCTGCACATTTCTAGAAACCTTGACCTATGCTAGCTTCTCCAAGCTCAGTGTTTTTCAACCCGGGTCGTGGAGATCCACTTTCCTGCTTATTTTAGTGCGTTTTCCGCTTAAACACAGCTAATAAACTGAGTGATGGACTGCTAAGGAGCTTGCTTGGATCGGGTGTGTTGGGAGCAGGGAAAACACTTCAAAGTGCAGGGCAGTGGGCCTCCAGGACCAGGGCTGAGAAACACACCGCCCTAGCTTGTTGTAAAGTGAAGTTTTAGTCTGTGCTTTACGATTTACTCATTAATTTTATAAGCATAATTTAATTATTTTCCATGATCGGGACATTACGTCTAATCTGACAGCAGTGTCTAGTGTCTAGTGTCTAGTGACAGTAGGATTACTGCTTACTGCCCTTGACACCTCCAGGACACTGAAATCAGTGCCATGGTTTAATGTCATGCCACATCATTCAGATCAATGTCTTTTTTTCAGTGTAGTCACTGATTATTGGTCGACATCTTTAATATCTGATTATTCCCTTCATCATTTTCAATATTTGTTTTGCATTTCATATATGGCATGGCAAGGAGAAAGGGTGCAAAATTAAAAAATGTTACAGAAATCACTGTATTTTTTCATTCTGCTCCATCAGTTAACATCTGTGTTCTGTTTCCCCTGATAAATTTAAGGACGGGTTGTTCGGGCTAGACGGTTGGTAGAAGCCTCCAATCCATCAGAGTTTGAGTACATGGAAGGACGCATTCCCTCCGAATGGGATGGTAATGCATTTGGCCCACCTTCACATATGGTGTAGTAAGGAGAATGAATATCAGCCTCCTGGACAGGGATTAAGCCAGGTCCTGGACTGCATTTTTATTTTTGTTTTTTTCAGTGGAAAAACTCCTTTCAGAATGTTGTGTAGTCTAAGACTGGGGAATTCCACAGATTCTTTAAAAAAATGGCTATGGTTACGATGCAAAAAGAGTCATTCAGAGTTGTTTGGGTTGATGGGAAATGCAGTGCTCTGTTCTAGAGGAACTTACCAAATCAAAATTGTTTACAGGACAAGACGTTTAATGCCTCTAAAAGCTACCCTGCAGAAAGTTATAACATGAAATTCATTACAATTATGCAGACTAATTACTGAGACATTGATTTACATTAGTTCTAATGTAAGATTTTGACCTAAAAAGTATTTTTAAAAATCCATTCATAAAGGAGAGGCATACAAAAGGTGTGGGGAGGCAAAATAGTCCCCAAAGAAAACATTTTTTCTTTTTCTTTTTTTTTCTACAGATTTACCTCTATTTTATCATTATAAGTATTACCTGTAAAACCTCAGAGATGTGTATGTTCTTCACTGGTCATTTGGATCGTAAATAAAAAAGCTATAACAGAATACTTCCATACTAAATAGTATGTCAAAACTAGTACATCACTATTATAAGTGCATTTAGTAGCTTAGTATGCGGTTTTTGATGCAGCCTGTAATTGTACAGTAAAGCTCGGGTTTCTGTCACCACCACAGTAAGGAAATCGAAGTTGGTAAGTTTGTCTTTAATGCACCATTTCAAGTCAAACCACTCTGAATGACATTTACATCTTGGGGACTGACTTTTGCAGAAATTTTAAAAAATTGATGGAATTTGCCCTTAATCCTTGACCAGGAACCTGACCCATATAGAACTGGGTTACAGATATCATTTCATATGGTGGGAGACTTGGCAGGATAGAGTAGTAGTAAATAAGATGTGATTTACTCTTTTAACAGGAAAGTGGTCTGTTTCTAATTACAATATTAGGCTACACCGCATGACTGTAATTCACTGAAGACAGATGCTGGTAATATGAAAAGGAAATAGTAATTAAATATTTAATAATTAAATAGTAACTTTACAGGAGGAGGTAAACATTTTCTTAACTGAAAGTAAGGTAATTTAAGATTTTATTTCAGGTAATTTTGTAACATTTCTGGTCCATTTATGACAAAACGTTCACACAACGAAATAAAGAAAATGAAAAAGTGGGGACACATGGTTTTGATATGGCAGAAATTATGTGCTTTGTTAGATCTAAGGTAATGCAAATTTTTATACTGTTTGCTTTGTTTCTTGCAGCTTGGATTAGAGGTAGACGCAAGGATCCACCCACTATAGAGGTATGAATTTTTTCCATTTGTGGCAATGAAATATGCTTAAAACCATTGGTCACCCACGTAATCTTTTTCCCAATATTCTAAAACACATACGGGTATAAAGGGCAGTATTTCCTGTTTATTAGTACTTTAGCAGGGTAACTAGCACATTATATTGATGTTCCATATTAGACAGATGACTATGACAATGATACATCACATTTGATTTTGATCACCTTGTTTCTTCTGCGAAGGAGCTGCTAAAGAACGAACGTTGCAGAGAACAAATCAAAATCAAAGCCAAGGAGGCTGAAGAGAAGGACATGGCACTGCAAGCCAAAGAGTATGAGGAGGGACTAGTTGCTCGACCTTTACAGACCCAGATTACAGGTCACGCTGCTGCCACGCAGTATGGTCAACCAGAAATCAGTGAGGATCCTGTTAGCACTGCCAATACGTTCCAACCAGGATCATGGGCACCGCCCAAAAAATAGGACCTTTCCAAACCTTACTGTCACTCAAGTGCAGGACTATCACTTTGAATGGTGAGTGTATTGCTCTTTGCTGTAACTTAGAAAATGCAAATTGTCCATTATTTAATGAAAAGCTAACTTTTATAAAGTTCTTAAACAAATCCCAAACTCCCAGAAGTCTTGTGTTAATATGGCCATTTTACAGCATATTGTAAAATTAAAGATTAGTTACTTCCTCTGTCCACTACTTTTATATTTCAGTAAGAAACAGGAATCAAGCTATGCTTGAGGGAAGTTTGATGCATTTCCTTATGCGATGCTACAACAGTGGTCACCAACCCTGGCCCTGGAGATACACTTTCCTGTGAAATCTAGTTCCAATCTGCCACCGCTGCTCCAGCTAATTAACTTCTTCAGAAGTTCTTGATTGGCTAAATCAGGTGCATTAGTGTAGGTAAGGAGGAGACCATGCTAGACACAGGTTGGAACTAAACCCTGCAGGAAAGTAGATCTTCAGGAAGAGGCTTGGTGACCATTGTGCTAGGCCATCTCTGGCTAAGTGATAGTAGTGATTAATAGGGATTAATAGGAGAGCAAAATCAGATGTATTTGCACCTTATATAAAAATGTGAATTGATAAAGTGTGTTTAAATACCTTGCAGTCTCAAAATGTTTGTTTTTAAACTTCAATTCTGTAATACAAATTCATTTCATTAATGATGGAGAGCCACAAATCTCAAACATATGGACAAAATTAATAATAAAAAAAAACTTCAGTGGATTGGAGGTGGAAAAACATCAGAAAAATAACTGGAATGCTGAGTGCTGCAATCATAGTATGATACTGTAGTGAATTTTTCAAAGTATGGATAATTTCCAGAAAAACTCTGCAGTCCTGCCATTGAGTACTCGATTAATCAGCCCACACGACATGCACTCTCCAAGCACTTGATAATGCTGCTGTTAAGCCCTGTTTCACCCCGGCCCCGCAAGAGCTGGACTGGGCTCTGACACAGCTGAGAGTGGGGCCTTGTTAGACACGGGAACACATAAATTGATCCCTCTGCATCCCATGACATTTCAGTTCAATCCTTCTTGGCTCTCTTGGCCTTTGCTATGTTCTCCTGTCGCTTTTGCTTCTTTTTCTGCTCACGGTCCCTGGCCTCAATCATCTTCGCAAGTTTCCAGGAAAGCAGAGCACTAGCGATGAACAGTGGAGTCAAGGCCAGAATGACTGTAGTGAGGAAGCCATATGGGTCTTTAGCTGCCCACTCCACTACATACTCTGCCCAGGCTTTGATATCAATCATCTTCTGATAAGTGCCGACGTCCAATGAAAATGCTAGAATAAGTTGAAGAAAAAAAAAAAGGTAAACGTGTATCAATTATACAGCAGTAAACAAACATACCGTAAAGCACTTAAAATCAAACCAATAAAAAACAATCCACCGCAAAATAGATAGTTGGCTGTAGCCCAAATGTTGCTGTGCCGTCCTAGTTGTTCAGTCACACTAACACTTGAAGTATGGAACAGCGGCCCGAGTGCCGGTTCACACAGCAGAACAGCGGCTTATGTGCCAGTACACACGTCTTTTTACCTTAGTTAAGTCTTTCATTCATTCATTATTCATTCACTCATTCAACCTTTATTTAAACTCAGAAATACATCTGATATATGGTAAAGGCCTTATTTACAATACAGCTGAGTACAAAATTAAAATAGCAAAACTAGCTATTAAACAGCACAAATAAGACATTTAGTTGAATGGTAATGATTACACAAAAAAAAGAACCAAATTGGTGAAATAATAAAACCTTAAAAATAAAGAAAACAATTAAAACATAAATTATCAACTAAACATGAACAAATAGAAGTGAGCATTTATTCTAGCATGAAATTAAAAATTTTAAGTGCCCAAAGGATAAAAATGAGGTAAGCTTTAGATTGTTCTGGATGTTATTCTATATTACCGGTGCACAGTAAGTATTTTCTAAACTCAGGAAAAACAGTCAGCACCTGCAACACAATTAAATCATTAGAAGGTGTTGTGTAAGAGCCCCTATTAAGACAACAATGAAGTAATGTAAAGGGGTAACAACAGTAAGGCCTTTTAAATAAATAAATAAAATCCAGCATCTTGTACGGCTTCCAAAGAGAGAGGGCCACCCAACCTTAACATACAGCTCACAATGATAAGTATTATAATTGTCACAGGTATTTAATCCGAGTGATAAACAAAGCACAAGGGCCTAAGAGTCTAAACTGAAGCATGCATGTATGTCACTGTAGTCCAAAACAGAAAGGTCAGTTGCCTCAATAAGCATCCTTCTGCAATGTCTTATTTATTTTAATGTCCTTTAGTCTAATAATTTGATCCATTATTATTAAAATTGTAAAATATCCATCTTAATTATGTTAATTCCTCTTATGTTCCTGTTACCATGAAAAGTGCATTTTCTGTTATATACTACAATTTACCTATTTGAAATCCAATTTGTTGTCTTCCCTTTTTACTTTTTGGAGTACATCACATCAGATAAATCATGAATGGGTGCTAAATTACACAATGTTGATTACATCAAAAATCTTACCTGGCAGGTCTATATTAAAAAGAAAAATGTTCTCATGGAAAAAAAAAACATTATGTTAATTTTCTGTCTCAAAAACTCTTTAGACACTTATACTACATTATGTTACAAGATTTCCTTCGCTTGGGTGGGTGTGAAGGGCAAGGGTATTGAGTTTACAAATAGAGGACTTTGGAAAAATGTCAAGGATTAAACTTCTGAAAGACTGTACAGCATCTTACTGAAACAAATGTTATTCCAGATTAGAATGTGGGGTATTTTACAAAACAGGATTTCTCATTTAGCCAAATAACTTAAGTATAAAGTTCAGGACTGTCCAACAGAGTGCATAATTAGCAATTAATCCTGTTTATCTGAACTGAATAAAAATCAATCTCTTCATAGGTTTTGATATTATTTTTTTTAAGTGGCACTGCTGATGCTTCAGCTCTGCTCCAACTGGACAGGCTTAACTTTAGGCTTAGGGTATCTGGCTAAACTGAAAAATCCTGCTTTGTGAAACACCCCTGTGCCTTCCTGCTCTGCATAGTTTAGTTACTCTTACACACTTGAGCTATGTTGTTAGCTAACAATCTCTCCCTTCTTGAGCTAAAAAGTGTGCATTACAGGTGAAAACAAAAGAATATGCAGTGCAGGAGGTCAGCTACAGGGCAAAGTGTCAAAGCCTGTCCACTGTCCGTGTCACTTTAAGAAGTCGATATAAGGATGAGTCACTGATAACCGATAAACGATAAGTTGTGTACATCCGGAAAAAAAACTTTTTATATAAAACTATTTTTATTACAACGTATTATATCGCCTATAATAGCCGCTGTTTTGCTGTGTCTACTGGTGTTACGGTAAATTCAGTTGCTCTGTTCCGGTAATAACCTAGTGTGACGGAACTAAGTGGGGCAGCACAGCAACATCTCGGCTACAACTCCTACTGGAGAAATAATACATTTCTGGTTACCCATCATTAAAAGATCATTGTCTGAGTTTCGTCAAAAAGCGTTAATGACTAATAAACGTGATAAACAGATATGCCATCTGAAAAGCTGACAGCTATAAAGGCGCGTATACTGGCTGGAAAATTCAGTCAGAGTCTACCTACAACTGTACTAGCTAGCTCGTTAGACGTCTTACTGCCGCGATTTGCCAGCCAAATTCTTTCAGCTGATTCATTGCGTGATTTCTTATAAGCTTAAAACGGGGTTAATCATTTTAAAGAAGTACTGCTACACTGACCAGGTGACTTCCACGCCCTTTTTAAAGCATCCTCCTCTGATCCGCTAACTAGCATAACTTTATTTAGCTAACGTTAGCTAACTTTAGCTTGCTGGCTAATTTAGTTCTGCTCGGATGAAATGGTCTAGTTAAGGTGGTTTTCTGTACTGCCTAGCATATTTGCGACCTGGTGCTAAAGTGCGAAACAATGGCTATCAGTTTAAAGAAAAACAGACCAACCTTTGAAATAAAAACTCGAGCGTCTTTTCGTGAGCGACTCGCCGCTTAACGCCAGTCAGCTGCATTCACAATGAAGGCGGAAGTGAAGCGTCACCCGGACGTGTGATGCTTGGTAGTCGTAGTTTTTTGCTGCCCAGTCTGACCACTAGATTGAGTTTTAGTTTCAGCAAAAAACAATGAGCCCGTGTTTAAGTATATTTCTTTTTCGTTTTTTTTTTATTTAGGTAGATAATAGATAATAGCTTGTAGTAAGTGTGCACATAATGCAGTACAAGACAGTCTAATGCTAATTCAACTGCTAACAACACTAAAATGAACGACGACAACCACAACAACAATAATAGTACTAACAATAATTATTATGATGATTATGCAATAAATAATACTAATTATAATATATAAAAATTCTGTATTTAAATAAATAAAGAAATAAGTTATTGTAAAAGTTCACATGTTACGTGTTAGAGAGTTAAACACAGCTTCAGATATGTTATATGTTAATATGTTGTCGTTGTTGTTGGTGGTCTTCATATTCTTCAAAATCAGAATCACATGAGTTTGCCAAGTATGTTACGCAATAAGGAATCTGTCTTTGTGTGTTCACATATGGATTACGTGTAACATACTAGACAGACCAGACAAGTACACAGTCTATTAACAAATATTAACAGTAAAATTATAGTAACTTAGTGAAACAAATAAAAAATAGGATAAATAGAGTGAAGAATAAAACAGTGGATACAAGAGAGCCAATGAGAAAGGAGCTAAAGAGAGGGATATGTGAATATATAGTGTGAATAAGTAATGTGAATAAGTACATATATGCAGGGTCTGAGGAAAAAAAACTATTATTTACAATACATTACAGGATGACATACAGTATATGGTGTAAATAAGCACTGTGGTTTGGAGGAGTTATACAATCATACAGTCAGGGAGGTTGGCTGGGTTACAGTTGTGCAAATAAGCATTTGGCTACTAAACACTGATAAATAATTATCCAAAGGGTGCCAGAACAGTGTAGTTCTTTGCCAGTGAGGTATGGAGGAAAGAAAACGTTTGCAAATTCTCAGTGTGTAAATCAGTAATGCCCATGCTATCCACTTGGGGGCAGTATACTTGTAATGGCAGGCTATCCAGTACTGCCGCACCCCTACATTCCCTGCTCACACACTGCTCCGAGTACAGGCATCAGTTTTAGTATGTTTTTTAGTATGATAGGCATTTTCCTGAACCTCCATGTTACTAAGAGGGTGAGGAACACACAAAGCACTTTCAGCCAAAATTAAAGTAGTACGATATGAGAATTTCAATGTCAAACATATTTTATTAGATTTTGTATAGTATCCATTTTCTTTGTTTCCATGTCTGTTTATTTCCTCTCATATACTACTTCAGCTCACAGAATCCCTGGTCTATAGATACAGTGCAATTATTTATTCTTTGTTAAAGAAATTAAATAATGGAAAATTACAAATTTAGGTTTGTAAAATGGAAAAAGGTATAATTCAAACTGTCTGCAGATAGTTTTAATAATAAAACAGTAAAAATAATAACAAGAGAATGTGGATAACAAATATGAATAAAAGCATTAAATAGAAACAATCAAATAAAATAAAAAAGGAAAAAACAAAATAAAGAAGTATTTAAAATTGTAGTTATCAATAAAACATAATATATGAAATAGGAAAAAAGCGATTGATAATAAAACCTTAACCAGCCTAAATAAATATTTTTTTTGGTAAAGAGTTCCAGTTCTTTGGTGCAGAAATCTGTTTCACCAGACATTTTGTTCTGAGAGGTTCCTGGTTTGGTAGTCCACTGTGTATCAACTGAAAGCTGTCATAAACCTGTTTTATCAGCTTCCTCTGGGCAGATGGTTTCATGTTTCAGTTTATCTGGAATATCAAACTTGTGTTGGATAGTTTTTAATGCGTTTTTTTACTCAAGAGAGAAAAGAAGAGCTAAAGGAAACGGATTGATGTTATGTCGCCACAAGTGTAGCATTAATGCAATTGTTACATTTAATTGAAAAAATGATATTTCGTTTTTTAAGATGCTATTATGTGAACATATATGACTGTACAAAAGCCATAAGCAGCCATAAAGATTGTTTGATTAAAACTATTTATCTTGGATGTAAGTTTGTTTTTGCCTGTAAAAAACACTGTATGACATTAGAATAAACACAAATGAACACGAATACAGTCAGTCATTTTCTCAGATGGCCTAAGACTTTTGCATATACATGTTGTCACTATCTCCAGAAAACTTTGATAGATATAGGTGATATAATTTAACACTTAAAATGTTTGTTATCCTTTATTTATTGAAATAAACAGAAATGCAATTTTGTTCTGTGGAAAAGAAAGTGCACCCCATATCTCACTGCTGTCGGAAGAAAACCTCATATCACCGTTTTTGTCGTTTTTTATATTTTTAACAGAATTTAAAAATACCTGTAGCCCTTTACGTTGTGTGTAAATTTCATGAAGTATGGACCAAAACAAATGCTCCAAAATGGCTCGGAAATAAGTCTGGTTCCATTGACTTACATTAAAAGTAAAGAAGGTTTTTTCCTTTTTCTGTAAAGTTATATTTTGGAGATACAGGGTTTTCTTCTGACAACAGCAATGTGTATATACATATATATATATATATACGTATACATATATACATATATATACGTATACATATATACGTATATATGTGTACACCTCAGATATCTGGTGACCTACATGAGAAGTGCTGCCTCAGTGCCTGGCCAACTTGCAGTCATAGAATCGACTATGAATTCTCAGAGAATCGACTTTGAATTCTCTGAGAGTGCTTGAGGAGAATGTAAGGCCAAAAAATGATGATCCCAAACATGCAAGTAAATCCACAAAGGAATGGCACAAAAGTATGGAGGGTTGTGGAATGGCCTAGACAGAGCTCAGATCTGAATCCTATTGAAATGCTGTGGGGGGGATTTGAAATGGGCTGTACATGCAAGAAACCCCTCAACAATAATACAATAAAACAATAATTCTGTGTGGAGAAGTGGGCAAAAATTTCTCAAAGCATATGGCAGAAACTGTGTAGACAGTTTCATATTTTCAGTATATGCCCTATGCCTTTCTTTCATAGTCACCAACAAACAAAATGCAATTTATATTCAGTTGAATTTTGACAAAAACCTTGCAGCTCACTGGTTTGAAAGTTCACCATACTGAATCTCCTGGACTTGTGAAGATAAAGCGAAGGATCAGTCATGAAAAGATTAGAACACCTTGATACAAGTCATAAACCGTACCATTAACTCAGCATTTATACAAGATCAGATAAACATTTCTCCCTGTGCATGTCTCATGATCATCTGGCTCATTCATTCCAAAGCAAAGATCAATGACATTCAAATACAAACCATTCATAAATCATTTACGAACTTTAGTCATGTGATGTTCATTCACAAGATCTGCACCCACTAAAATAAGATAGCAGCACCATTTAACATGTGACAGTATATTTAGTCTGCGTAAGGTTTCTTGCTTGTCAATAGACAGACGTGTGCATCTTAAAGCTACAGTGCTGCTTGAACGTTTGTGAACGCTTCATCATTTTGTAAATTTTTACATAAATATGACCTAAAATATGATCAGACCTTCATTTAAGTCAAAACAGATAAAAAGAACCCAATAAAACAAATAATACAAACAATTATATAGTTTAAATCCATTTATTTGGAATAATCTTCCAGTCAGTGTTTGGGACTCAGACACAGCCTCAGTCTTTAAGTCTAGGCTAAAAACTTACTTGTTTAGTCAAACCTTTGGTAATTAGTTTTTCCTGTCAAATAAAAGGTGCAGATCTGGGGGTTCATGGTCATAGAGTATTATGGTAAACTGGGAGTGTTGGTGCTGTCGTCCCGCTGCTCTCACGCGTTCACTCTGACGGTGGAGCGGGGGGACACTGACATCTCAGGGAGCCTCATGTCTCTGTTACCTTCTTGTTTCTCCCTTTTAGTAAAGTGCTATAACAACTAGACCTGCTGGAATCTCTGCTGCTCTGTTAATACTGTAATCTAATTAACCATTGCTCCACCTGTTTTCCCCGTTTTGTACTATAATACTTTATCCTAAAGCTGTGTGCTATCCGGTGTTGACCAAAGGAATATGGGTTCCCCTTTTGAGTCTTCGTTCCTTTTGCCACTGGTTTGCTCATGGGGGCTTGGACCCGGATTTTTCTGTAAAGCTGCGTTGTGACAACACCTGTTGTAAAAAGCGCTACATAAATAAACTATGCTTGCTTGCTTATTGAACAAAGTGATCCAACATTAAATGTTTTTGGTGGCAAAAGTATGTGAATCTCTAGAATTGTCAGTTTGATTGCCAACCTGCATCTTCACCATCAAAGTTTGGTCTTTACCGCTCACATTTATTAGTGCATGCCATGTCTCAGTCAGGTGAGTTTTCTGAGAACATGCTCATGAGGCTGGAAGAGGTTCCAAAACAATTTCTGATGTATTTGGACTTCACTGATCCACTTTCAGGCTAACAGCGTACAAATAGGGGAATTCAACACCATTTTTACCCTTCCAGATGACTACTGAAATAATTTGTTGACGGATAAGGCAAAAGTGGATCTTTATGGCTTAAATGAAAGATGCTATGTTTGCCAAAACCAAACACTGCATTCCAGCATAAGAATCTTATTCCAACTGTGAAGCATGGTGGTGGCGGTAAAATAGTTTGGACCTATTTTGCTGCTATTGGTCCAGGACATTTTGCTATCATTTGATAGAGCTATGAATTCTGATTTCTATCAAGAAATTCTACAAGAGAATGTTAGGACATCCATCCATGAACTGAACCTCAATAGAAGGAACTGCAGAAAGACAATAACCCTAAACACATCAGTTAGCCTACAAAGAATGGCTACAGCAGGAGAAATGTTACATTTTGTAATGACTGAGTCCAAAGTCCAGACCTTAATCCAATAGAAATGTTGAGGCAGACCTAAGGTGTGGCATTCATGCAAGAAAGCACACCAATATAACGAAGTTGAAGCAGTTCTGTACAGAGTAACAGGCCAAGATTCATCCAAATCAATCTACAGGGCTGATCAACGGCTACAGGAACCGTTTGGTTGAAGTCAATGCTGCTCCAGGGGGTCACACCAGTTCCTGAAAGCAGAGGTTCACAATCTTTTGCAGACATTTAATGTTAGATTGTTTAGTTCAATAAATTAATGAAAAACAATATACTTTTTGTGTTATTTGTTTAATTTCCTTTATTTATTGTTATGAGTTAAATGAAGATGTGATCATATTTCAGGTCAAATGTATCAAATTTATTGCAATGTCACAATCATGAAATTTTGTCTTAACAATTGTCATATAAATAATTGCAATTAAGAGTTAAATTGTCTTGGTCATTCTATACACCTCAAGTACAAGCAAAAAAGGCCAGATTGGCTTATTTGTCATCTTGCTGTGTTTACTATGTTTACTAGGTAGCAAGCAAATTGGTCGAATTGGTACACTACACTGTTGGACATGTGCAAACTCTTTCACACAAATGTCTCAGTTACAGAGAATGACGTGTTGTCAAGTAATGCAGATTTTTTTTTCTTCAGACTGAAAATACAAGCCAAAAAACTATTTTTCTGCTAGCGCTAAAACATTACAAAAAAATACATAGCTAATAAATAAACATGCACTGCTATGTAAATGTGTTTTAGCACCATAGCAGTAGCAGTTATTTTTTGTTGTCCCATGATGTCTCAATGAATGTATTTATTTATGTCATCCCAGCGCATCCAATTCATGTTTTGCTTGCTGACGCATAATATAATTGTAAAATCTGGAAAATGTGGAAAATGAAAACTGCAGTGTGCAATGTCAAATAATTGACATTATAATAAGCCCTGGTCAGCTGAAGGGCTATTGTGAAATGGAAGCGTCCAGGAGCAACAACAGTTCAGCCACAAAGAAGCAGACCAGGCAAACTCACAGAGCGGGGCAACAGAGCACCGAAGCGCATAGCTTCAAAAAGTGCCTATCATTACAGAGTTCCAAACTGCCTCTGGAAGTAACATCAGCACAAGACTGTGTTGGGAGCTTCATGAAATGGGTTGCCATGCTGGGTGTGGCAGATGTCAGGGGAACACTACCGGAATGCATAGAGCCAACGATAAACCATGGTGGAGGAGGCATGATGGCGTTTCTCAGGGTTTGGATTGCAAGCCAGACCTTTTTGTCCATCATTAGTGCTTGACCTCACAAATGTTCTTTCTTTTGAATGGGTATAAATTCTCACAGACACACTCCACAATCATATGCAAAGCTTTCACAGAAGAGTGGAGGCTGATATAACTGGTATAAGTACCCATGGTTTTGGAATGGGATGTTCAAAAAGCTAATATTGGTTTGATGGTTAGGTGCCCATATACTTTTAAGTCTGGTGATTCAATTATGTAGCTTAAATGAGTACACTACATTCACTTTCCCACTTCCTACATTCATTTTTTGTGTGTAATTTTTCTTGACCTTTTTAAATATAACAATAAAATAAAAAAGCCTGAAGTCAAGATAAAGATATAGACCCTAAAAGGCACAATTTACAATTCTACAATTTTACAATTTTAATTATATTGCACAGAACCTCATTCCAGCGTTGAAACATGGTGGTGGCAGTGTCATGGTTTGGACCTATTTTGCTGCTGTTGGACCAGGACAGCGTGCCATCATTTGACAGAGCTATGAATTCTGGATTGTATCAAGAAACCCTATAGGAGATTATTAGGACATTCATACATTAACTGAATCTCAACAGAAGGTGGGTCCTGCAGAAAGACAACAACCTTAAAAACATCAGTTAGTCAAAGTCCAGACCTTGATACAATAGAAATGTTGAGACAGAACCTAAGGTGTGGCGTTCATGCAAGAAAGTACACCAACATAACAGAGTTGAAGCAGTTCTGTAAACAGAAATGGGCCCAGATTCATCCAAGTCAATGTGCAGGGCTGATTGACGGTTTTAGGAATCATTTGGTTGAAGTCGTTGCTGCTCAAAGGGGTCAAACCAGTTTCTGAAAGCAGAGGTTCACATACTTTTGCCATCAAAGACATTTAATGTCAGCCTACTTAGTGCAAATAATGAATGCAAAACAATATACTTTTGGTATTATTTGTTTAATTCCATTTATATATTGTTAGTTGAATTAAGATCTGACCTTTTACTTTTACTTGTCTTAACTTTTTGAAATATAAAAAAAAAATAAAAAGCCTCAAGAGGTCAAGATAAAGGGTATGTATAGACTCTAAAAGGGAAAATTTACAACTGTATAATTTTACAATTGTAATCATATTGCATAAAGTGTAGGCGGTAAATGTAATATTATCATTATAAGACAAAGTCTTATCAAAGTTTTATAACTCGACTTTTATAGCTGACTTGCTCTCAAATGTCATGCTTTTCCCTTTTAGGTGACCTTAATAATACAGCACTCATTCAAATGATTAACCACAGCAACAGTGAAAACTGAAGTGCGCAGACAAAACATGACCTTTGTCTTTTTCCATTCAGTTGTTTTTTCCAATTGGCTCTGTTGTACTGTATATGAGTAAAATGTCGTTAATGAGATTATGTTCTCGGAACAGTTATGAGGACTGCAGCGTCTGGGTACAGAAGCATCTGGTCACCTTTGAAATGACGCAGTCAGTCTGCTGGCACAGAGTTGAAGATGAGGTGGAGATTACCAGACAAGGGTGAGACCTTATTTTTTACACAAGCCTTATCACAGGCTCTTAACACAGGCTTTATCACATCACGACTTCCTTACACGCGCTGGAATGGAGTGTGTTGCTTAATTCACAGATTTGTGTCTGTTACCATAGAGACACGTCGGGGAGGTCAAACTTCAGTCTGTTCTTAATGAGCTCCAATCCAGAGAATCTTGAATTCAGATGTCATTTGCTCCGGCACAGGAACTTCTGCAGTCATTGTCCACACCTGCCACTGTTCTTCAGACTGGCAGAAATTTAACTGACACCATGAGTAAAAGGAAATACCTGCTGGCCACAGCCCGCCTTTTGATGCCTGCCACTGGCTTAAGTCTCATCTGTGTCGGTGCCTACATAAAATCCATCGAAAATGAAGAGCTGGAGACACTAGTAGATGTCTTTGCTTACATTCTCATCATCCTTGGCCTCATTCTCCTTGTTCTCGGAGTGCTGTGGTCTGTCGGCCATGGAGTGAAGAACGTGCTGGTCAAGTGGTCTGGGAGGAGGACCCAAAACAATGATGTCCATGTTTTTACTGTAGACAGGTAGGCTTAGTTTCTCACTGCTATATGTATCTGCAGATACTGTAGGAGATGCACTTTTGATGTAGGGATATAATTCAGATAACTCATATTTCAGACCAGCTTTATATGCTGACTTTGCAAATAGTTCCAGATCAGCAGGCCGAATACAATCATGTGTACAAAACACTAGACTATAAATAGAAGCACTAATGTGCAGCATCAACGTTGGCTCTTAAAAGCTGCTCTAAACCTTAGGTTCTCAAACTGGTCCTCAGAGCCCACTGGACGGTCCATGTTTTTCCTCTATCCCAGCAAGTAAGCTATTAAGAACAATGAACACCTGGTACAGGTGCTGGGAGTTGGGAAGAAACCAAAATGTGGACCTGTTCACAACTGCTCAACTGCTCTAAACTGTTGATATTGGTAATAATTAGGGCTGCAATTATCTAATATTTTCATTTTCAAATATTCTGTCCAATATTCCCTCGAGTATTTTTATATTCTATAACAATAAGAAAACACATTTTAACAACAAACATTTTAATAATTAAATAGAAAAAAAAACTTTTTTATTCTTATAATTTTTTTTTGTTTTTGTTTTGTTCTGCACCATTGCATAATTCACATTTACGCACCTGGCTTTTTAATAAAGCTTGATTGAAATACTACAAAGAAACAAAAAACATCACAAGCAGATTTAAAATACTGGTCCTTGGGAAGGTGTTTTGAGGTGGGGGTGCTGAAATTTTAAGTCATATATGTGCACAATGACATCATGCTAAAATATTTGCCAGATATTTTTCCCATATGAATTTAATTTAATTTTGATACTTTACATCAAACAAAATGTGTCATACTGCAGTAAAACGAGGCAAGGGATGACAACGTATACATATAACTGTCACACCAGAACGCTAATGCACTGATCCTTTCTGCTTTCTCTTTCTCAACAAACTTCATGCAAATTAACAAAGTGATGACCAATCAGATTGTTGATGTGTGGCACAGTAACCAATTGTGTCATACCCAGAATCATGCAGTAAGCATGCACAATGAGGCGGAGATATAACAGTTGTTAAAACGATATTATTGCATGAAATGATCATTTAAAAGTTTAAAAACAGCATTATGCTGCTTTTATAACTGCCTCCAGTTCTGCACATATATTCTCTCTTTGCACCCTAACCTGCGTGTGTTTTAGTGACCAGCTGCCACAAACTGGCCAGCTGTTGTCGAGGGAAGCGATTCAGCTCGTTTAAACAGGGCAGCTGCTGCAGATTTTGAAAATATATAAATAAATGTGGAAAAATACAAACTCCTTTTTGCTACGCTCAAATTATTAAAAACATCTCTGTATTATTGTTTTCAGCAGTTGTAGTCCTGAAATTGGATCCTGCATCCCTGGATCCTTCACTCTTAAAAAAAGGTCCTTCAAGGGTTTTTTAGTGAAGACAATAGTTCTACATTGAACCATGAATACTCAAAGATCTATTTGCATGCTTTAACCACTCAAAATCCCAGGCTTAGTACTTATTAAGCCTTATTCAGTGACTACAGGGACTTCAATAAAAAATGGATTGAGCGATTCTTAGGTTATAGTTAGGTTATATGGGCCCTGGCCATTTAAGGGGTTAATGGTTCTTTGCATAGTGAAATAGTTTTTCAGACTGATTAGAGAAGGTGTTGTATATGGTTCTACATAACTTCAAAAAGGCTTCTGCTATTGTTATGATGTCAAGCTTGAAACAATAGAAGTATTGTTATGGAACTATACAATACAACATCAATCTGAAGAACCATTTGCCCATGCAGAAACCCCACTTTTACTAAAGTACCCTTGAAGAACCATATTTTTTAAGAGTTTACCAAATCTGGCAACCCTGATCTTGCTGCGAACAGCAGTGAGTGGTGGTGGAATGCAAAAACAAAATATAAACCCAACCATAACAGTTGGTGAAAATACTCTTTCTACAGCTCAGGACATATAACTATATTAATTAATTAGTTATATTAATTTGCCCCCTTAAAATTCCAGGCTTATTACAAAGTAAGGCTAATTAAGCAGTAACTACAGGGACTTCAGTGGAAACTGGCTGAGCTATTGTCAGGTCATAGAAGTGTGTAATAAAACTTTGGGCCTGCCAGCAGGCCCTGGCCATGTAAGGGGTTAAAAGAACAATCCGGGGTTTCGGCACTGGATTGTATTTTAAATGTGATGTTATTCAACAAATGCAGCATATAGAGTTTAGGTTGAGTTTTCATTTAATCTCAGTGGACTTTGCAGAATGAGACATTTCATCAACTGAACACTGCCCTGCCTGAGTCATTTTAGATAGTGAACAATGATACAGCACAATGAGCGCAACGTATCCATATCAGGGTACATCCATATCAGGGCTGGTCTAGAAGAACCCTGTCTTACGTCAGAAAAGTTGGCACTCATAGCTAATTGAGGTTCAATATTAATTGATATCGGCAAGCTGTTCTGATGAATCCTCAATGAAAATTCCATAAATTCTTTCCATTGCATGTAACATTTTATTAATGTTTAAGTAAAAGAAAAAATAATTAGAAACAAAAAACTTTGTCTTTGTTTCTCAGGCCATGCATCTTTCCTCCATCATATGAAGAATCTGAGGTTAGAGATGATGTCGAAGAGGGGACTGTCAGGCGGTGGCAGGGCTTAGCCCCTCCAATGTACACTGAGAGCAGCGTAGAGACTTGCACTGAAGATTTCAGTCATGAAGAACCACCTACATACCAGCAAGCCGTTCTCCATAGCCAGGCTGCTCCACAAACCACCTGTCTACCAACAAACAGCTCTGTAGAGCCACTCTGAGAAGCTGCTCTTTCTGGACTGGACTGAGAGAGAAGCACACCAAGTGAGTGAAGAAGATTCTTCACACCTTGCTGCACTGGGAGTGATGCAATTCAGAAAACTCATCCTGTTCTGGGATGATGACTGAAAAGTATGATATATTTCAACAGTCTCTGAGGAGAGACTAGAGAAAATGGAGACTGTGTGATGCAGTGAATATGGGAAAGAAAGTGGTAGTGCTGCTTCTGAACAACCATGAAAATAAGACCCAATGCTAGTCAGAAAAAAATGGAGACTGTCAGGGTCGCTCGCGGTGTTGATGGTCCAGAAGTGGATAGTTTTTGTCTGGGTACATGATGTGATCAGTCTATGTAATTGCTCTAGGCTTTTCAAAGCATCAAAGCACAATGATTGTAGCACTGCGTACTCTTAAAAATAAAAGTGTCTGAAAAGGTTATTTTGAGTGCCATAGAACAGGTGTGTCCAAGGTCCGGCCCCCAGGCCAAATGCAGCCTGCGGACAGATTTTATTTGGCCCGTGGCTTCTCAGTTAGAACGCATTACAGGGTGGCCTGCCAGCCAATACGCTGCAGTTTTTCCTTTCACTTTAGGGTGGCAGCAGAACCGCAAACTAACAGTGTGTTGCACAACACTGTGTTAAAAAAGTTTGCTAAATGTGAGAGCTTCCAGACTAGACCTATAATTTAATATACTTCATAATGTTTAGTCATAACTAAGGCCAAAAAGCACAAAGGTGACAATGAGAATTTCAAGAGAAGTGGGACTCAGAACACCTTTTCATCAGAAGCCACAGCAATTGTGTGTGCCTCATACGTCAACTATAAGACTATAACGAATTTAATACCAAAAGACATTGAAATAAACTACAGACTTTACAATAAATACTGAGGAACTGTTGTTATTAGTTGTTCAATAAATGTAGTTTGTTCTACATATTTGTGTTTTTCTTATTATGAATGCTTGTTTTTTTAATCATTTATGAATGATATTTTGTGACAGTACTGTACAGTATACAGCAAGTACAGTAGTACATATTAGTTGGAATACGCTTGGTCAGATGACATATTTTTAAATTTTTTTAGGTGAAAATAATTTACTCATCCCACACAAAGAACACATAAATATGACATTTCCCTGTAAATTATAGTTCACCACTTCCATGTTTTTAAAAAATAAACCTAGCATTACACATTTATCTTTTGCACACATCACATTTGACCTTTTTTTCTCCATTATGTTAAATTCAGCAAATAAATGGTAACTGTGCATTAAAATGTGCAGAACTGTGTTCTCTGTAGAAGATGTGTTCATTTTGTTTCACTTAAAAAAATCAACAAAATGTAATTTGACCAGGGGTCCCCAAATTTTGCATACCCCTGTAGACTAATATGGGCAAATATGATCTTCTTTAATAAAAGTTTGGACACCCCTGCCGTAGAAGAAGCACTTTTGATTTCTTGATTTCCTAAATAAAATGTGAATGTAAAAATAATGTACATGTAAGGGTTTAAATGAATTACATATTTTTTTTTTCAAAAACCATTTAGGAACCTTCATTTTTAAGGCTGTAGAGTATCAGCTTGAACAGTGCAACAATGAGCACTAACTTACACTAACTCTGTATATATGGAACATTTTTGAAGCTGAACTGGTCAAACCCAACAGCTGAAGTGGACATAAAAGTGTACTCAAACTTTACTGATAGGTCAAGCTAGCAAGACTGCCATAGCATTCATGTTTTTTATGTTTGTATTAATAAAGAATTACAATAAGACTTTCATGGTTGTTGTGTATTCAAATGTACTGTTATGTGTCCAAGGTTTAGAGGGAAATTTCACAATAAAAAAAAAAAACTCAACATAAATCAATGGTTAAGATATAAACAAAGTTGTTCAGAGCTGTTTATTGTGAAATGCTTCGTTCTAAAGAAAGTGACAGAGTCATAATTGTTTAAAGTGATGGTGATAGGAACTAGACATCTGAAGGGTTTAATGTCTCTGACTAACTGAGAAGTTCTCCTTCAAAAAATACCCTCTAGTTCCTATCACCACCACTGTAAATAAACCTCATATAAGCATTTGGGATTGGCTTTGCAGATGCAGATTAAGCACCAATCTGGGATTAAACTGCACGTCAATGGAAAATTGCCTTTTGAAACCCTTTTTTCTTTAGTAACCATTTAAGAAATTCTCTCTAAAACAATCTAGGTGTCTAATGCATCTCAATACCACATTCCAAGTCACACAAAAGACAGTTTATTTAAGTAAAACATAGGATACAAAATTAAATACATTGGCATTGCTATTTGAACTATGTTTCTTTCCTGTAAATCTTAAACTTAAATCTCCTAAATTGGATCAGAAGTAATGATTATTTGGATTTTTCCATCTGGAAAGATGGTTCTATAGTTCAAGACTTCACATTTCAAAAAGTGGTAGTGGTAGTCTTTAAAAAAGACTTGCAAAACAAAACCAGTGTTAGCAGGCCACAAGCTGTAATATAGCATCAACAAAAACATGCTTCATACACAACACTTTGCATTTTGGACCTTAATTCTAGATTCTGCAATATTTTTTATAATATTGTGCTAAAATATGCTCATACACATAGAGTTACTGAATGAATTTGCTCCCTTATATTACTGAATACAGTTTTCCAATAACAACTGCAGTTACTTTACAGGGAGACAGGCCAATATTTTTAAGGATGCACATATATTTGTCAATGCTGACATACAGTTGTATGGCAAAATTTGGGCACCACGGGCAAATTATTTTATTAGTTTTGTTGATGTTCTAAGTTAAAATAAGTTAAAACATTAAGTTAAATGAACCAAATGTCAATTATATAGCATATGTAATATGTTAACTTGTTCTCAGTTAGAAAATCAACAAAATATGTCAACTGACCAGGGGTTTCAAGATAGTAGGACTACAACAACTTCGATTTGCATTTTGGTGAAATAATTGATTTTTTTTTTCCTGATATAGTACATCCCTAAATATTTTGCCCTCATATAAATCAAACTGATCCAATCTGTAGGCTGCAGCTGTGCACATCATTACTGAGAATGCCCCCTTCACACTACATGATCAACCACTCAAAACTTTCACTCTAACTCTTCACCAGAATGTTTAAGAAATGCATTCTTATTAGGCTGCGCTTTCAGACGAAAGGTTCACTGTGTGATTCTCTTGGAATGGCAGCGGTGATTCTGCCACTCCATTTGCTATAAAACTAAAGGGAGTCTTCAAATTCATAAACAGAGCTCTAAATGACTGGTCACTTTAACATATTGGCACGCGAAGAGATCTGATTTCTGAGCTCTTAAGGCAATAAATTGTTTTCAGTGGTAAATGTTTATAGGCAATAGTAGTAAATGTTAATAAATACTAAAGTAATATGCAACAGCAGTAGATGTTTGAGTGCAATTGTGGTGAATGTTTATGTGTAAACAGAGTAATTTAAAAATAAATCTGAAATCCTTTCACCTCATAGTGTTCTGCTGAACTCTGGACCAACGGCATATCCTTCGGGTGCTCATACAGACAACAACACCGTGGCTGAAAAATGCAGTGTGAAAGAGGCATTATGGGCAAATACTATACAGTAATCCTTCTGCTCCCTTTGGATATTTTTGTGGTTCACGTACAATTGTGCAACATAGATCAATCCTTAAAGAGAGAGCTAGAGAGACAAAAGAGTTGGGGGGGGGAAGGAGGCATGGAAATAAAGGAGTGATAAAGATAGAAGGAGAAAGAAAGAGATGTTGTTTAGTCTGTGAAACAGCAGCAAAAATCATAAACAGTGTAAATACGCCAGTGAGACATTCTGCAGACTAAAAGTATACAGTCATGGCTGCAGGATGGGGAAAGTGATGGCTAGGTTATGAAAGACTGTAAAGAAGATGGTGGAGACCAGATCCTAAAGGAAAGGCTTTCTGGTGCTTTGGCCCCTGGTGTGCGTCGCTGCGCCCAGCTCAGGTGATCACAGTGGGGCCCCTGCGTCCCGTCCGCTCGTGGATGTCTGAAATCTTCAGAGCGATGGCAATGAGAGGACCCAGCACAACCTACAATGAGGAAGAGTGGTCAGGTAGAATTGCAGTAAAATAGTTATTGCTGTATTGTGCAGTACTGTGCAAAAGTAAGAGATCTTCCATCATTCATTTACTTTCCAGTTAGAACAGCCAATAGGTACAAGTTATTTCTTCTCCAGTGTCAGAAAACATAACAAAAATTACAGCTACAACAAGTAAATAAAGTATCAGTTTTCTTCAGTATTTAGCATGTTCACCCTTTGCCTTTATAACAGCTTTCACTCTCTTCATGAGAGCTTTGTTTTTCAAAGAAATCTGTAGGGATATTTCCCCACACTTCCAAAGTTCAGTCTCAGAAGTTGGTTGCGTTTTCTGCGGCACATGATCCAAGAAGTCCCAAACACATTCAGTGAACAGCAGCTTCTCAGCTTGATTTGGAACTTTTTTATTTATTTCCTTTTATCAATAAATATTGATAGTGTCTATTAAGATCTCAAGCAACAGTGGAGCTTGACTATCCTAATAATAATAATAATAATAACAATAATAATAATAATAATAAGCCATATTTCATAGACAAAAAGAGACAATACAAATGATAAATATAAATCATTAAAAACCTAAAAGCAGCAAGAATATGGTAAAATGACAAAAATAATTAAAAATAAGAAACAAGAAGCAATAAAATAATAAAAAATAATTAGATATAAAATGTTATAGAAATAATATTTATAAAAGTAAAATCAGCACAGTAGAAAAAAAAAGAAAAAACAGTAGCAGTACATACAATTGACTACATATTATGCAAAAACATGTCTTTAGCTGCTTTTTCAATTTATGGAAAAAATAATACATAATAAAATTTGTAAAAAAGTATAAATTTAAAAAATCACAAATTATGCACTGATGCTCCCCATCTAATCTCAACTGGTAAACTTCATTTCACTTCTTGGGTGCATAAAAAC